ACATATTTAAGCCGCGGGCACAAATTCTCTAAATTCTGCCTCTGAACACTTACCCCAAACACTAATTTTTGAATTCATATATCTTTGCTTTGATTTAATATAATTCATGGTTAGAAATATTTAAGGTTACGAAATCAGTTTGCAAAGGTTTAGAGATTAGAAAGCGACAAGTAATAAGTTTCATTGAAAATATGACATGAAAATTATGACTATAGAACTATGAAATCTTTTTGGGGTAAAAGTCCTGGACTGAATGATGATCATTAAAACCTTGCGCTTGAAATCTAGAAAAAAACCTTGCGTTTGAAATATAGAAACTCTGAGATGTGGAAACCGTGCGCTTGAAACCTAGAAACCCTAACACGAGGAAACCTCGGGCTATCAAACTGAGGTTTCTTGTAGTTTTGAACCACACGTTTTTCACCAAGAAACCTTGAGTATAATAATGAAATATTGTGTTTAAAACCTTGTGTCTCCTGTGCTTCCATTATACAAGAATATTATTATGCATGAAACATGAACCAACTTGAAACTACTGTTTCTAGGCAAATATATAATTAAACCCAATGTATGTTAAAGAGAGTGTAGACTGTGACTATAGAGTGGGTGCATATTCGATTTACATCGATACTCTTAAAAGCTTTGTTTGGTCAAGAATGAATGAGAAATGCATTGTTGAATAGTTAGGGGTCAGGGGTAAAATTCAATAAACCTTTGGAACCCAGTTTCCCTGTGAAATGAGATTTATCGTATTTGCTATTCATCCTTAAAATATGACTGAAAAGTCGACAGCTGATTACTTTGTTATATTTAGTTTGACGTGGGCTCCCGGCCCTTTAAATAAACAGTCACTTGAAATTACACAGCCAGTCCCTTTAAGTATAAGGTTAGTAATTAAAATAAACTTGATTCAAACCAGAGATTGTAGTTGGATTATTGTTTAACGATTCTGTTATTTAAAACTTATAAAATAAAGATATACTTTTTTAAATATAATTTTCTTATATATTATGTTTTGAATAAAGTATCAGCTGAACACCTGCAAATAGGTTCATGATCTCTCTCAGAACATAATTCTTAGATTAAACACTATCAGGTGCAAGCTGTAAACATAAATACATTTCAAAACTATTTCATAATAATTCTGATTCTGAAAGATTTTGTTATTATAGAAATTGAACACTTGCCTCAATCTCTAATTATCTAATCCCTATAACTTTGCAACCTGATGGTTTACATCTTTGATATTAAAAACTGTGATCTAGTAGAACTAAGAGTTTGAAATAAATAAGGTCTACGACATCAGGTTGCCCAGATATAAAGATTTGAACCTAAAATATAAGGGCAGTCATTCCCTTGAAGGAAAAAATCTATATAATCTATATAATAAAGCTCTTCGCTTATATATATATGTGTTACCAGACCTATTACTGGCCAAACGGCGGGACCTATTTGAATAAAAAATTTTTAGGAAACCCATGGCTAAAATTTTTTTTGGCAATGTTTGAAATTCCTCGGGCAACGCCGGGCATTTCAGCCTAAATCATGATTTAATACCAAGCGCCGCGGGAAAAAGGCTTGAGTAACTACACTGTTAGAAAAACATTTCTTCCAAATCTGGTAAAATGCTGTCGAAGAACAAATAGGTTCCATGAAAACCACTAAAAAAACCTCCCATTACTTATATTTATTGTCACACTTCTTAACTTATTAACTTGACCAGAAAATGTTACTGTCACAGGAAATATATTGATTAAAACAAGAAAAAACTTCTGTTCCAGTATTTATAATGAGTGCTAGATAACATGCAAATTTGTCTATGAATAAAAATAAAAACCTGGGCAACGTCGGACACTGCAGCAAGTAGCTTTTATAACAAATAAGAAATGAAAGGTTAAAGAGGAGTAGTACAATCTCTCATTGTTATTCTCTGTTTATCTGTATACAATGTATATGTATATATTAGGATAAAGGAATTATCATGAAGTTTCTAACCCCAGGATATATCCAAGTATTGATCTAGTACTGTACTGTAGGATAAACTGACCAGGATATTAACCTGAACCATCTGCTCAGCAAACCTCAACCCAGGATATCTCCAGCTCTAGGTATTCAACTAGTTTTCCAGACAGCTCTGTAATTTGATACACAGTCGGATTTCGTTGAAAAATCATTTGTCTTTTCTGTAAGTTTATGCTCAATATGCTCATTTGTCTCTTTTCACCAATTCTTCGTTCTAATGTCAGGGGCGGAGAAATAATTTATTTTTCCGTCCTAAATCTTGAAACTAGTGGAACAGAAAGATAGATACACAATATTAGCATTTAAAAGGTTTCTAAGATTAAAGTTCTCCGAATTCTTGTGATTCATCCTTTATAAACTAAAATACGTATCTGCCCACATCAAACCTTTAGATGAGTTTATTTAAAGAAGGATATAGTCCAACTAGAGGGGGAAGGGGGGGGGGAGCATGTTTAAAAATTGGTAAATTGCGAACGAATAATTGTAAAATTTATTTATTCAAAAAAGGTTTTAATGTAACCCGTCCTCCTCCTCCTCCAGATTTTATTTATCTTATATAAGTATTCCACACACTCAATATTTCCATTTTATTGATAATTGAAATCATTTTTTAAGCTGCCAAAAAAAAAAACTGAATTGTACCTAGAAATAGTTAAGCTCAATGTTTTTAGTGTTCTATATAAACCTAAATGTCTAGTTCGTCGTTTTTTCAAGTTTATTATCCGCAGGTGTGAAAGATTCTTATCTTTTAGGTCCGTCCTTTGAAAAAGATCCCCCTGTATCTCCCCANATAGTTTCTACACTATCTACACTCTACACCGTAGAATCATGTTTATAGTTTCTACAGGGGAAGAAAGAAAAAATATGTATTTTCTCAAACAATTACAGGGTGTCCTGAGAATACATACTTTAAAGGGATTGTTCAGATTTTGGTAAAAGGGGAGTACTTTATACTAAAAAGAAATTGCATGTATATCTTAGCTCCGGTTTTTAAAATTACTTTAAAACCTAAAAAACAGACCAGCAATGATCTCTTTTGGTTGAATTCATCATTTTTATACGATTTCAACTATTTCACGGATTTCGGTTTTCAGCCTTCTTGCTTGTGACTCTAAGAGCTCCTAAATCAACTTTTTTAAAAAAGTCCTAAGAGTATTTACAACTTAATTCGAAGACGACAAATAATAGAAATCCGGGAAGTATTTCCAGGAAATTAATGCAGAATTATTTCACCATTTTAGGTCCCCTCTATTCAATAATTTATTCCTCCCACATAAACCTAGATATCTGAAAAAAATCCATTTTTAAATATTTATAAGGTATCTCCGATTATCTGATCCATATAGAGGTTCCATTTTTTATCTTGAGTACAAATTTTTAAATTCGTTCTGCAACACACACTGTCGTATTTTAGAAGCAAATAAATACAGTGAGACCGATAAAACTGTAGAATAGGAAGACGACTGTCTTAAACAAGATTTTTAAATTATCATGTCGCACGCGGCAGTTGTGATGTGAACACTCTGAACACAGAGCTTAATTGCTGAAATGTCGTCTTTATATTCCACAGTTCTATGGGTCTCACGAAATGAATAAATTGTCGAATGTACATCTATCTATGTATAAATGTCTAGAATGTTGAAATGATATGTACGATGTATATTAAATGAAGCATGAATTAATCTCCTATTGAATCTCTAGGACTGAAACCAACTGGTGTTATTAGTCTGATTAGAGTCGGATTCCAAGAGAGGTGTTTAAGCAAATCATTTAGGATACAGATGACCAGAATAAGAACAGAGATTAATTGGTTTATTTTAGAAACCAAAATGGCGCATCAAGGTTTACATTATATTGATTTAAAGATATTAGAAACAGATAGAATTTATTTTTATTTTCTTGGTGAATAGATACATTCAGTTTTTTAGATTTAATAAAGTCATAGAAAAAGTATGTTGTAGACGGAAAAGTTCAAACTGGTTTTATCCGGGTTTGAAATCTTCATTTTCTGAGATAAAGAAAGTATGATTGGGTGAGTTAAGTCAAACCTTAGGCCAGGTAAAAAGATATTGTTATTTTTAGTAACTGTGTAGATCGCTGTGAGGAACAATCTCATATAAAATTTGACCGATAAAAGCTTGAACCTTCCGTCTGTAATTTATTTGATCTATGGCAATATTCCAATAGATCACGTGACAGCAGAAGAAACCCAAGTCTAGGGCGGGTTCAAACTAGAATCCTTTAGCTTGAAATTACATAGGCGTGGCTAGGGGGGAAAGGGCGTGGGGTTGAAAAATTCAATTATATATCTGCATAAACTATACCCGTGGATAGGTTTAATAAAACCATCCAAATTAGATTAAAATATGATTATTTTATTTGCCACACAATTTAGTTTTTTAAATTTGATGAAAATCCCCAAAACATGCATTTAGTGGCGTTAACAGTATCTATATGTGTATAAAGGGTGGAATGCTAATAACTCAATCTTTTAACTTAAACGACAAGAGAAGGATTGAAGGACGGGGAGAGAAAGGAGAAGCTGGATGTATGGTAAGGATGAGTAGAAAAGAAGAGAAAGGAGAAGCTGGATGGATGATAAGGATGAGTAGAAAAGAAGAGAAAGGAGAAAGGAGAAGCTGGATGGATGATAAGGATGAGTAGAAAAGAAGAGAAAGGAGAAACTGTATGGATGGGAAGGATGAGCAGAAAAGAAGAGAAAGGAGAAGCTGGATGGATGGTAAGGATGAGTAGAAAAGAAGAGAAAGAAGAAGCTGGATGTATGGTAAGGATGAGTAGAAAAGAAGAGAAAGGAGAAGCTGGATGGATGGGAAGGATGAGCAGAAAAGAAGAGAAAGGAGAAGCTGGATGGATGGTAAGGATGAGCAGAAAAGAATAGAAAGGAGAAGCTGGATGGATGGGAAGGATGAGTAGAAAAGAAGAGAAAGGAGAAAGGAGAAGCTGGATGGATGATAAGGATGAGTAGAAAAGAAGAGAAAGGAGAAGCTGTATGGATGGGAAGGATGAGTAGAAAAGAACAGAACGAAGAAGCTGGATGGATGGTAAGGATGAGTAGAAAAGAAGAGAAAGGAGAAAGGAGAAGCTGTATGGATAGGAAGGATGAGGAGAAAAGAAGAGAAAGGAGAAACTGTATGGATGGGAAGGATGAGCAGAAAGAAGAGAAAGGAGAAGCTAGGTGGATGATAAGGATAAACAGAAAAGAAGAGAACGGAGAAGTTGTAGGGATGGGAAGGATGAGCAGAAAAGAAGAGAAAGGAGAAACTGTATGGATCGGAAAGGATCAGGAGAAAAGAAGAGACAGGAGAAGCTGGATGGATGGTAAGGTGAACAGAAAAGAAGAGAACGGAGAAGTTGGCTGGATGATAAGGATGAACATAAAAGAAGAGAACGGAGAAGTTGGAGGGATGGGAAGGATGAGCAGAAAGAAGAGAAAGGAGAAACTATATGGATTGGAAAGGATCAGGAGAAAAGAAGAGACAGGAGAAGCTGGCTGGATGGTAAGGTGAACAGAAAAGAAGAGAACGGAGAAGCTGGATGGACGGGAAGGATTACCAGAAAGGGAGAGAAAGGAGAAGGTAGGGACAGGAAGTATTATCAGAAACGGAGAGAAAGGAGAATATGGGGATAGGAAATATTATAAGAAACAGAGAGAAAAGAGAAGGTAGGGAAACGAAGAGAAAGGAGAAGATAGGGGTGGGAAGGAATAGCAACAAAGGGAGAGAAGAGTTAAAGAATATGAAGAATATGGAGAAAAAGCTCTAAAGTTGAAAGATAATACTAAAAAAGAAATTTATGTTATAAAATGAGGATGAAAGAGGAACAATGGAGGGAGTGTATAGAGATAGCATAAACCTGTTTTTATTTACATTAGATAAACCTTAAATCAAGAAGACTCAAATAACGATTTACAATTATTTAAGGAGTTTTAAAAGTGACGGAACAAAGTATCAAACATACACAGTTTGGAAAAATAATACTGATATTTTTTAGATAATTTCTAAAGGAATTGAAAGCGTATTATAATATTCAGAAACAACTCTAGTGGATTTGTAAGATCACTAAAAAATACTTAATCTTTACAAAACATCCTAAAATTGGGCTTACTCATAAACAAATCTAATTAAGCAAGAAAAAAAACATATAGATTTAAGATCCTTCTTTATTATTGTTGGTTCATATTATTTAATCAGATAAGTTAACTGGATGGGACAATGAGGGGTGAGGGAGGGGGGGGGGTTGATAAAATAAAGTTTTTTAAAAGACCTGTAAGTTTAACATCAAGATATCATGAAAAGAAAAAGTATAAAAATGATATAAAGATTTCTTTTTTCTAAACACCAGAAAGAACCATGGGAGATGAATGTAAGTGCACAGTTCAGGACCGGGTTCGGAGAAATATTCAAGATTAACAAGTTTCTTCAGTTCATCCTTGGTAGAGTGATAACAACCCAGTTCTTCTCCTTCCAATCATACTAATTTTCAATATTTTACACGGGACGGAGAAATCTTTGGTTTGGAATTTATAGATTCTAAGAAATAGTTCAACTCTTATTAGTTTCTTTGATAAAATTTAATAGATATACGCGAGAAATTTTGATTACAGAGTATAAACGTATAGTTAGTAGCGCCACACTCCGATTCTGTTAAATAAAACAAGATAAGGCTTTAATTTAAAGTGAATGTTCGTGAAAATTAAATGGGTATAGATAAACCATATCTTCAAACATTTTAAAATATTAATTCTATTAGAATTAACTTCTGTTTCATTGCTGGGATGAACTAAGCAAACACTTTTTTAAATCAAAACAAAAAGTGTAAAATGCATAATGAATTTGAATAAATTTTTTGAGAAACCTAAGTTTTTACGATTTTATTTTTAAAAACCTGCTTGTGAATACATTTTCATCTTTAACCTTTTCTTGACCATTTTTAAAATGTCAATATACAACGGTTAGATTTCGCTTACTTAAACCATCCAGTAAATCAAATCAAGAATGTTCACCTCTGAACTTTATAATATAACTTTAATGTAATAATTTTCCATCTTTAAATGTCATTTTGCTAATTTTAAAAAAAATAATATATATAATATTCGAATGCTATCAGATGCTCGAATCGCTTCAATGAAATTGAATCTTCGCCACAAACTCTTATTTTCTAATCCATAAATCTTCACAGCACCATGTCGTAGCTATTTCAAACTATGAATTATGCTACATCAAAAAAAATTTGAAATATCTTTACACAACAGGGTTGCAAACCTATAAGGATTCTAAATTTAACTTTTTTGTTAAAAGAAGATACTCAATTCCTTTGTTTGGTTTGAAATGTTCTCTTGAAATCCCTGAAATGTTCTAGATTTGTCTAGAATACAATAATATATTATGATACAGTTTAATATACCTGGAGAAAGGCGAATCTAAATTAAAACTAAGTTTCCATAACTAATCCCTTCTAATCCAGGGATCAGAATTCCCTTATATTTCTCCATTTTACAATAGGAACATTATTAAGGACTGATTTAGAAAAAAAAAATTGAATCGGTTTTATCTCTCTATTCATGATCCATCCAAAAACAATTACCAATATTTTTTATGAAAAATAATTTCCCCTGTAAACTTTAATTGTTATTACTATTTTACCAAGATACCCTCTCAGGAATTCGGGGGATACGGTACAAAAAATAGTATAAGGGTAGAGGGGAGGTGCATTGCTTTAAATGTTTTGACTAGCCTGTGTTTTATTGCATTGGATGGAAAACTGGCCTTAACATACCAATACACGGCATCAGAGGGATTAACTTCAGCATGTATAACGAGAAATAAACCTAGTAATATGTTTAAGATTTTAAAACTATAAACAAGGGGTTAAAACACGATATATCCAATTTTAGCTGTAATGAATATGGATTGGAGGGGACAGAGGGACGTAAGTCCAAAATGCTAATATTAGACTTAAAAAACATATGGTTTCCTAACCTCCAACCCTTCTCAAATAGATTGTGTACAGATATGAAAATACACATGATACCCTCATTTCAAACAATTTTAAAATCACAATTACGCCGATTTACCTGCACAAAGATGTTCCTGAGAGCCAAAATGTCTAAAATGTCAAATGTTCATTCAGAAAATCGGTTTTATAGTGTATTTCAATAAACTGTCCAGTTTCAGAAAATTTTGGCATTATGAGTATATTTTAAATAGACATGAACAATCCCTTTAACCTTGGGTAACCCCAGTCAAAGATTCCAGATTTTTGTGCATTATCCTGCAATGATGGTGCATTGACTCCCGACCTAGTAGTTCTGAATGGTTTTGTCTCCGGGATGTAAGAATGGTATGCGGGACGGTGAGACCCCCCGCGCTTTTATTAGTCAATTGTTGGTCAAACTACATCCTCCCCTCCTCATCCTACTTCAACACAATTCGGGTTTTTTCTTTCATTTTTATCTTATTTTTTTTTACCTTTCTACTTTTTGTTAATCGCTTCGATGTATTTTTACATTTCCACTCTGTCAGTTCTATGATATATTATTTTTTTGCCTTTGCCCTTATAATCCAACCAAGCTTTTTCCTTCTTCTTCTGTGTCATTTTGTTCTTTGTTTATTTTGTGTCTAGGGTATCTTTTTTCTTTCCTCTTCTTTCTTTTCAAGACTATTTTCCGTCTGATGTATAACGTAATTTATTCTTAGTACCTTATTTTGTATTTGTCATATCTATCAAAATCTTTAATCCTTTTTCATTTCAGTTTCTCTCTCCTTTTCTACAGAATACAGATAACAACACCTTTTCCCATTCCTCCCTAGTATATCGAATATACATAAACAATTAACTATTAACTACAGAATTAAACAGTTGGATACTTAATAAATAGAATTCTCTTATAGGGCTCCACCCATGGATCAGAACTCCCCTCCCCCGAATCTTGATCATCCCTCCCCTCTCCCCTATTACTGGCTATTTCAGAGAAACATGATGGAACCATAAACCATGTAGAAAGATAGATATATAAAATAATAAAAAATTCCAGAAAAAGCAGTGAGAAAAATGCGGGTAACCGTTGTCGGTGCTGGAATAATCGGAACCACAGCTGCTTTCAGGATTAAGAGAAGGTTTCCTGATCTAGAGATAACCGTCCTAGCGGAGAAATTTAGTCCTAACACAACCTCAGATATCGGTAAGAAGGCCATATGTTTAATCTTTCCGAATTATAATGGTCGAGCTAACTTTACAGCTCCTCAACTTGAGATTATTTAATATCTCGCTTCTTAAAAATTTCTAAGGAACTGATTACTCGCATCAAACTCTGATTTCCTAATTCTTACACCTTTGCAACCTAAAGCCTTTAATTTTTCAAACTTTCAGTTTTGCTAGATCAAATAGTTAAGGTTACAGATATAGTCTTTAAAACACTTGTTTTGTGATAAATATAAATTTAAATCTAGAATGAGCCTATGATTGTTTCCTTTTTACAAATTTTTACAATTTTACAAAATTACAAATTTTCATTTAATCGAATACATTTAAGACATGGGGCAGTTTTCGTTTCCTTTTACTTTCCTTTAGCCAATCTTAATATTTTACTATTTCGCTCTATTTCCTTTATTTCTCTTACTTTCGCTCAATTTTTATCTTCGATAATTTCTTTGCTTCTTGCATCCTACTTATCCATCCCTTGTTTTTAATTTTCTTTTCACTTCTCTGTATTTTCATTTCTTTCTCCTCATATTTTTCCTTACACTCTCTTATACCGTTTTCTTCTCTCAAAGGAATTGAATCTTTGCCACAAACTCTGATTTTTATAATCCTTATATCTTTGCTATCTTTGCAACACAATGTCGAAGAAATTAGATATTTCAAACTATAAATTATGTTAGATCAAATTATCTAAGTTTGAAATATCAAAAGTTTACATCGTCAGGTTGCAAAGATATAGGGATTAGAAAATGTGAGTTTGCTGCAACGGCTCAATTTCTTTATGTTACTTCTTATTATTTCCTTATTTTTTCCTTTCTCCAACCCCCGGTTATTACCTTTTTTCTTCTATCATTCCTCTTGCAAATCTTACCTTTTACGTTTGCAATTATTTCATGTTTTATTTATCCCCTTTCTTCTAGTTTATATTCTCCATGTCTCAATATTGTATATTAAAGCTGCTGGATGGTGGGAACCCACCCTGGACCCGGATACTCCAGCCCACCTGGTCAGTAGATGGTCCGGAGAAACATATTCATTCTTCCTTAAACTCTGGAGATCCCAACCCGACCAGGGACAATATTTAATCTTAATATCAGTGAGTCCCATAAAACTGTGAAAAAGGAAGGTTTACGTTGCACAATTTCTGTTGTTTCATGTTCATTGGAATATTTAAAACCAAAACTTGAGTCGTCTTCTATTCCATAGTTTTATGAGTCCCCCTGTATAAAATGATTTTCTATCCAATTTAGAATTACAAAAAAAAACTATTGGTGATTTCTGAAGGGATATACAAAAGTTCAGAACTGGCTTGGGAACCCAGCTTTTCCAAGCTAAGAACATTTAGTTGATTCTAACGAGTTCCTCCAGCTAAATTTGAGGCAAATCGGTACTGGGGTTCCGGAGTTATGATTGGACATCACTACTTTTTTTAAATTGAATTAAATATTGATCAGGAGGTTGCAGAGATACAGCAGGAGCTAACAAAGGTAAAAACATTCCTAAAATTATATTCATCAATCTTGCCAAAAATATCATTCACGAATTTAGCTTTTTTCCCTCTTCAATATGCAATAGGTTAAAATTAAACCAATATGAAATTTTAACAACTTAAGTGTTGTTCTGGCATACCTTTGTTGAGGAAAGCGAGTTCAAGGTATTTAGATTCTTTAAAAAAAAATTAAATGGCCACGCACCTCTGCCCCTTTAGTAAAAGTAAATTCAACCTATATGAGACATAAAGTCTGACCGCGTCAACCTTGTTGCACCGGCTAGTCCTGTCCACAGAACTAGGTACAGTACAAACTGGGACCGAAATGGTTGACCCGGCTCGGAAATTCAAATGTACTACGACTGCCCGTGGGGCTTTCCCAATTCACACCTGTACCCTTTAAACCTTTATTTGATCAATAATATAAATATATCGTCGTTTTCTAACAATTGTTTTCATTTCTTCCATCCGATCCGAATATCTCACTTTTATTGAAAATATGCATTCTTTTAAGAGAAAATAATGGATATCTCATGCATTTTTGATTGTTCCAGGCTTTCAAGGTGCATAAAGTCTGACCGCGTCAACCTTGTTGCACCGGCTAGTCCTTTCCACAGAACTAGGTACAGTACAAACTGGGACCGAAAAGGTTGACCCGGCTCGGAAATTCAAATGTACTACGGCTGCCCGTGGGGCTTTCCCAATTCACACCTGTACCCTTTAACCCTTTATTTGATCAATAATACCGTCGTTTTCTAACAATTGTTTTCATTTCTTCCATCCGAATGTCTCACTTTTATAGAGAAACCACAATTGAAAATAATCAATCTTCAAAGAGAAAATAATGGATATCTCATGCACTTGATTGTTCCAGGCTTTCAAGGTTACCGTTGTGAATCGTACATGTCACTTGAAATTGCGCCTACAGTCCCTTTAAGGTCATATTGTTATAAAGGGCATCATCAACTATAAACTGAACGATCCCTTTAAGGGATTATGTATGATGACAGGGCGTGAAGCTGACACGAACCCTGCAGTCCTGAACCTACCCTGGCAGAACAATGTTCTAGCCTACTCTGTATCCAAGGATCCTTTCAGTCTGACCAGCCTAGGGTTCAAGCACTCTCAGGATATGGTTTCAAGATCATTTCTCTCTTTTACCTTCGAGGCCAGTCTCGTCCTACCAGTATTCTATTCTTGGTTACAGAACAATGGAGTTAAACTAGTTGGTAATAGAAGAATTTTTATGTTTTAATGCTAAAATTTTTACTTGAAAATAAGTGCAAAGCGGCTTAAACGCATAGATTCTCCTGATTTGTTTAAATTAATTAAATTTATATTTAGAAAAGAGAGCCAAAAGTCTTCCCGAGTTGTTTCAAACTTCAGATATCATCATTAACTGCTCTGGACTAGGAGCTGAAACTCTAGGTATTAAATTAACTTCTTTAACTTCTAGATATTTACCCAACACTACATCAGTACCTACCTGCCCATTAACCTTTCTATCAACCTACCTTCCTGCTTACTTTCTTACCCAACTACCTACCTACCTACCTACCTACCTACCTACCTACCTACCTACCTACCTACCTACCTACCTACCTACCTACCTACCTACCTACCTACCTACCTACCTACCTACCTATCTACCTACCTACCTACCTACCTAACTACCTACCTACCTATCTACCTACCTACCTATCTACCATTTCAAAAATACTTCTGATTTAGGTGGGGACTCAAACATGTATCCTATCTCAGGTCATGTGATCAGAGCTAAGGTAAATGCGCAAACTGCATCAAATTGTTAAAATCAACTGTTTTAAAAGCTTTGAAATTCAAGTACATTATTTATCATAAATAACTGTAAGAAAAATTAGAACCAAACTTTTAATCATTTTTATTAAAAAACTGTTTAAGACAAAGTCAATAATTTTCTAATATATAAAAGGATAAAGATACATGCAACTCATTTTATTTTACCCTTTATTCGACATATACTTGGTTGTCTCACGAAACATGACAGTTTAGCAATCTGATCTTAGAGGTAATTTACGCCATTTATTCGTAAACCAAATTTTAGAGGTAAAATTCTAGGGTTACTATAGTCACAAAATACCCCTAGTCTTCCATTTCCAAAATGTGGTCTGCCTTTTTTGTGCCGATTTCGACAATTTTGGTTTTATTTATTAAAATTGAAATCGGAACAAAATTCTCAATATTTCCGATAATATGGACATCACATTAAAGGTAGACCACATCCTGGAATCCAAGAACTAGGAGAATTTGTTGTTATTGTCTTACGAACATACAGTTGAAAGGAGGTTGACGACTCAATGTCTCAAATAAATTCAAGGATAGAAGACGACTTCTAAATCGTCTCGCTACTGTCAATGTTTCGTATAAAAAAAATAAAAACCTATACAGAGTACAGACAGGATTATAATATGAACGATTACTATATATATAATACGAGCCTGTACATTGTACAGTGTCAATGTGTAGAACTTTCAAGAGTATACTTACAGTACACATTCAAATTTACCCTGAGCCCGAAATTTAAAATAGTATAGTTGAACGAAACTTCCGAGTTTTCCTTTTTGGAGTTTTAACATTTGTGTAGATTTTGATTTAAGAGATTAAAAAATGGAGAATATGAAGAAGAGAAACCAAATAAAATGATTTTTTTATAACAAAAATTTTTATATCGACAAAACTGCCTAACCCCATTCGTGAAACCCGGGTACCCATAACGATACCCTATCTTAAGTTTTGGGCTCTTGCCTAGTCTATTCTCCGTGGTCTTCTTTTAATACAGGGTGTCCCACATCATATTGAATCGTGGTATAGCTTCAAATTGCCTTTTCCGGGACTAATCAGAAAATTTAAGAAGAACGAATCATTTTAAAAGTTGTAAATTGCTAATATAAAGATTTGCATTAAAAAAATAACAGTTTTTTTCGAGTATTATGTGCGTATTCTGGCGTTAAAGCTTAAATCTAATATGATATGACGCTCTGTATGAATATGATAGGTTTCTCATCATCAAAAAATTACTCAATAGGAAGACTACTTGCAGAATCAAGTAAACAGACACATTTAACGAAATTAGTGATTTCATAAGCTATAGCAAAACTATTGGCTTTGTAACAACATCAAATAAACAACCCCTGAACTTAAACAAGGGTGAGAACATGTAAACCGACCTAAAGTTAAAAGAAACTTCATGTCAGTGTTTAGTCAAATCTGAAAATTTTTTAAATACGAAAATTCATAGGTCGGATGAGACAGCATCAGAACTTTAGAAGGACATGAATTTTTATCTCATTTTCTACTCAGCTTGATAGTTGTGTAGTTGACAGGGGATAGGATATATGGATATATTTATTTGGATGTAATTTGTAACTCTTTATCATAGAAATCCTTGCCACGATCTATCAATTAATCATCAGTATTGAGAGGAGATGGGGGGTTAATCTCTTATGATTTTTTAAGGGATTGTCCATGGGATTTTAAGTGACCCTTTGTGGCATGTCCAATTCGCAACTGCACCATTTAACCCTTTGTCTGATCAAGATTCAAGAATGAACTAGATATGATCGTGTTTTTGATAATTTTCTGTGGGTTCTCTGTTAAAATTGCACGAGGATTTAAATTACGCTGCACAAATAATGAATATAATTGTCAGATTTAGACAAACAACGATATTTTTCTCATTGTTACTGACTTCAATCGAAACAAAATGGAGGATCGTCTTTAATATTGTGTACAATCCCTTTTATTTTATCAAATAAAAATATATATCAATTATGTCTCATTTTTCTTTAACAATCCCTTTAAAATTTGGTCTTATTTAGGATTAACAGAAAAATACGTTATGTAGAATAGACATATTGAAACTAGGTTGGAAGATGTCGATAAAAAGATAATTTGAGATCTTTCTGATCAATGAAATTATTATGTTGAAGACGATATATAACCTCTCTATCATGTTGTGTAATCATGATAAAAAACTTAGAACACGCAACTCTTGCGTCTCTACCATTATTCTTCCATTAATCTATTCATCAATTTAAAAGCTGATCTCTGTTCATTTATTCTCAAATCCTGCTGCCATAGCCCGGACCCTAAATATTTTTCGCGTGCGACTTGAAAAACAATCCACCCTGGGGCCTGGACTAACCAGGGCCAGATCATAGATGTGTCCAGGTCCTGTTTTTGCAATTTGAATTCCATTGCGTTTTGGTCTAAAATTCAACAATCTTTAAAATTACACAGTTGCATAATCCTACTTTTTTATTCAAAAAGTATAAATAAGAAAAAATTATATTTAATCAATCAAATTGGGATCTAAAGCGCAATGGATTATTTGGAATAATAAACTTGATTGAATCGATGATCGTCGATCGTCGATGGCTTGTAGGTCGCACGTCTAGATATTCCTGGCCAGGACTCAGTTCTAACAGTGGGCGGTGCAGACCATAATGTACAGCACAGCGGTTCAATAATTCCTTTAAACGATGATTTCAACGGATATTTTATTAGGCTTTTAATCAATTCAATGAAAGGAGTTTTAAAGATAAAATCATGCTTGAAGGGGGACTTCTCGAAATAAAGACGTAAAATATAATTTAATAGGTTCCGAATGTTAAAGAAACTCTGATGGATGCTAGACCTGATTCCTGGGCATATATTATACCAAATAGGTACATTGTACAACACTCTTGGTAAATCATTAACTTATAAGATGGGAGAGATGGGGGGGGGGCGGATAAGGATTGTGAACACATAATAAATTGTGATTTTTGGAACATTTTTTGAGGAGGATCACTTGAAATTCGCTTACAGTCCCTTTAATAGACAAACAAAATTTAAATATTTAGGATACTCAAAACTTTTATTAACCTGTTTTACGAAATTGATAAACTAAAATATAGATTTTGAAAATATTATTAATACAAATTTTAGTTGAATTAAAGGATGTATCTTACATAAACGTTTTAAAAAAAATCTGAGTTTTTATTCTTGTTTTCAGGGATTCTGTAATTTTGGGATCAGTGAATATTAAGGGTAACTATGATACAACAGTTACCGAAGAAAATACGCAAAAGATTTTGGAAAGATGCGGAAACTTTTGTCCTAACGTTAAGGTATTATTTTTTAGAACTTTGTAAAGATTGGAATGATACCCTTTAGCAAGGTTGTAATGCAAGGAAAGTTAATTGCAGTTGCATATACTCTACGTACATATTGAACCCAGTTCTCTCTGGGCGGAATTTGTAAACAAGAATAGATGCATCAGTGTTCGTTTAGTATCCGAGGAGGTTAAAAGCATTAAATTTTGATAATTTTGATAATTCGCATAAAAGTTTCCTATGACCAGAATATTTCATTGATTTTTTATGTGAAAAATGGATCCCATGTCAGGCTTTGACATCCGTCTTGTGTTTACATTATCACCCAGAGAAAGTACATTGCAGTACAAAAGATGCGTACACCTCCGAAATAACTTTCCTTGCATTACAACCTTGCCTTTTAGGATTGTAAGAAAGTATCGGAGAAGGTTGGGTTGAGACCATTGTAGGAGAAGAGGAGAAGGATAGATCATGTTTAGGATTGTGAGATAGTATCGGAGAAGCTAGGGTTGATACCATGTAGGAGAAGAGGAGAAGGATAGATCATGTTTAAGATTGTGAGATTGTATCGTAGAAGCTAGGGTTGATACCATGTAGGAGAAGAAGTGAAGAATAGATCATGTTTAAGATTGTGAGATTGTATCGGAGAAGGTTGGGTTGATACCATGTAGGAGAAGAGGAGAAGAATAGATCATGTTTAGGATTGTGAGATTGTATCGGAGAGTGAGAGGGTTAAGACCATGTAGGAGAAGAGGAGAAGGATAGATCATGTTTAGAATTGTGAGATTGTATCGGAGATGGAGAGGGTTAAGACCATGTAGGAAAGTAGGAGAAGAATAGATCATGTTTAGAATTGGAGATTGGGTTGACACCATGTAGGAGAAGAGGAGAAGGATAGATCAAGTTTACGCTTGTGAGATTGTATCGGAGATGGAGAGGGTTAAGACCATGTAGGAGAGTAGGAGAAGGATAGATCATGTTTAGGATTGTGAGATTGTATCGGAGATGGTTGGGTTGACACCATGTAGGAGAAGAGGAGAAGGATGGATCATGTTTAGAATTGTGAGATTGTATCGGAGATAAAGAGGGTTAAGACCATGTAAGAGAGGAGGAAAAGGAGAGATCATGTTTAGTATTGTGAGATTGTATCGGAGAAGGTTGGGTTGACACCATGTAGGAGAAGGATAGATCATCTTTAGGATTATAGGATAGTATAGCAGATGGAGAGGGTTAAGACCATGTAAGAGAGGAGGAGAAGGATAGATGATGTTTAGTATTGTGAGATTGCATCGGAGAAGGATGGGTTGACACCATGTAGGAGAAGGATAGATCATCTTTAGGATTATAGGATAGTATCGGAGATGGAGAGGGTTAAGACCATGTAAGAGAGGAGGAGAAGGATAGATCATCTTTAGTATTGTGAGATTGTATCGGAGAAGGTTGGGTTGACACCATGTAGGACATCTTTAGGATTATAGGATAGTATCGGAGATGGAGAGGGTTAAGACCATGTAAGAGAGGAGGAGAAGGATAGATCATCTTTAGGATTATAGGATTGTATCGGAGAAGGTTGGGTTAAGACCATGGAAGAGAGAAGGATAGATCATGTTTAGAATTGTGAGATTTTATCGGATAAGGAGGGGTTGAGATCATGTTTGGAGAAGAGTAGAAGAAAAGATCATACTTAGGATTGTAAGATTGTACCGGAGAAGGTTGGGTTAAGACCATGTATAGGAGAGGAGAAGAATATTAGATCATGTTTATGATTGTGAGATAGTATCGGAGAAGGTTGGGGTGAGAACTTGCAGGATAGGAGGAGAATGATAGATCATGTTTAGGATTGTGAGATAGTATCAGAGAAGGTTGGATTGAGACCATGTAGGAGAGGAGGAGTACGGCTTGAACTAGAACATCATCCTGATGGAAAGGTAAACCATAATTATCTTCGCTTTTAATAAAATATCTTCAACTCCTAAGCAAGGACATTTAACAATATATATCACAGCAATTTTTAAAGGAAATAAACTAAAATCGTTCGTAATAAAAGAGTTTACTTGAAGCTACTTGGAACTTGTGTTTGAGAATGAGATAGCGGTTGAATATTCACATTGAATGGCTTTTTATTCAAGAGATTTGATATCTTAATCGAAGTTTTCATCACACAAACCTCTCATTGGACAAATTTCCATAAATTTAATCGATCGATTCTTTTTCCGTTGAACTAAAGAAGAAACACGGATAAGTGCTATTTAAAAGTGTCGACCCTTGGACTGTTGTGGATCGGTATTTAACGTAACAAATATTTTAGATCAAGAACCATGTTCTATTTTTTATTTTTATGTTGTCGTCTTCATTATCTTAAAGCTGTACTCTTTTATCTAACAAAAATAAATGCATACTTCAATGATTTTATACCTAATAACCTATAAAAGCTTTTACGTTGTAAATACAGTGCACAAGCAAACTTTAATATTTACACTTCGCTCCTGTTTCCCAGATTTATGAATGTCGTCTTGAACATATATTTAATACACACATGAAGATACGCAAAATTTCTTTATTTAGATAATTCACAACTACGGTCATGGAGGAAGCGGGATAACCCTATGCTGGGGATGCGCCGGAGATGTTGTGAAAATATTGGAAAACCTGATTCCCCCTACACCAGCTACACACCCTACCCGGAGTAAACTTTAGTTTTAAAACTGCATCCTTTTCTCGGAGTAAACTCTAGTTTTAGAACTAAATTTATCCACTAACCGGATTAAACTCTGTTTCTAGAAATATATCCTCTACCCGGAGTGAAATCATAGTTCTAGAACTATATCCCCTACCCGGAGTAAAATCTAGTTCTAGATCTATATCCTCTACCAGGAGTAAACTCTAGTTCTATAGACTATAACTATATCCTCTACCAGGAGTAAACTTTTAGTTCTATAACTACATTCTCTACCTGGAGTAAACTTTAGTTTCAGAACTAAATCCTCTACCTGGATTAAACTCTAGTTTCAAACTAAATCCTCTAACTAGAGTAAACTCTTGTTTCAAAACTAAATCATCTACATACCTGGATCTAGACCTACATTCTCTGTACCCGGAGTAAGCTCTAGTTCAGAAGCTACAGGTTTATCTGCAAAGGACTTCATTTAGTCTTATTCCTTACATTCCTGGTTCCTGGCAAGTGAAGAATATTTCTTTTCTTTGCTAAATCATTATTAAATCATTAAAATGATAATTTAAGACAAAAATTTAAGTCGTATTAGAGTCTCATCCTTTATGGGTAATCCTGTTTATTCTCTACACGAAAAAAACTATGGATCTTTACCAATATATAATATTTATCCTCTATCCGCAATAAAAAAATTATGTTTTTTAATAATAAAAATGGGACGAAATAGAAGTAAAATATTTTTAGAACCTTCTAGACCTTCTAGACCCAATCATTTAAATCAAAATAATTATCTTCTCATTACACATCTACTGTCTTAGTGTCCATTTTCTTCTGTAGAAACCATCAACAGTGTGTCCCAATAAACATGGGAATTCAGTGACGAATTCGAGATAATCTTTGTAAAGAAATTAGCATTGCATTACCTGATTTCAAAAGCCATAATATTATTATGTCTACTGGAGTTTAATTTGTGAAAACGGTAAAGCTGTAAAGATGTGTCTATAATGTCTCTGCGAGATGACAGTGAAGACGGACAAGTGTACTCTGTTTGTTATGCAGACTGCAGTCAGAACATAAACAAACAAATTGGAAACATATATATATATAGCAGACGAAAAACTTACGGATTGTAGCTTTCCCAGTAGGTACAGGGTGTCCCACGAAACATGACAGTATGCAGGACGAATTGAATGTCGTCTTGATTTTTGATATAATTTGCTGCGTTTATTTGTCAACTTAAGTTTAGAAGTAAATTTCTAGAGATAATAATCACAAAATTCCCCTTGTCCTGCCATTTCCAAAATGTGGTCTGCCTTTTTTGTGCTTTCAATATTGCCCGAGATATGAAGAATTTCGTTCAGATTTCGACAATTTTGCTTTTATTTAACAAAATTGAAATCTGAACCAAACTCTTTATATCTCCGGTAATATTGAAAGCACAAAAAACGCAGACCACTTTTTGGAAATGTCAGGGCTAGGAGAATTATGTGATAATTGTTTCAAGAATCATACATGTTAAAGTAGATAGAAGACTAAATGTCACAAATAAATTCAAATACCAAAGACGACTTTCAAGTCGTCTTGCTATTGTCACGTTTCGTGGGACACCCTGTATCAGAGCGTCTTTTATGATATTAGATTATCTCCAAATTGTAATGTTAATACGCAGATAATACTCGAAAGACCTAGTATTTTCTGAATGCAAATCATTATATTAGCAATATACAAGTTTTTTTAATGATTTGTTCTTTTTAGATTTTCTGATTATTCCCGGAAATCGCAATTTAAAGCTTTAACACGATCCAATATGATGTGGGACACCCTGTAATAAATCAAAGAGTTATTTAAAAAAAACGATTTCGAAATCGTCACTGAATTCCCACGTTTTTTGTGACACCCTTTAAATACGGAAAGCTGGAGTCCTACAGCATTTCCGTCTTACGATACATCGGACCATACCAGCTGTAGGTCGAGATGTACATTCTATTTTGTTTATCCGACCTACGCAGGTTCTGCACATATTGTCAGTTTGTAGTTGACAGTACTATGTTCCGGTTGCACACATATTTAAATAGGTGAGATGCACACTTTTTGTAGATCGGATGCACAGATTTTGGAGGTCGGATGCACAACTTTAGTAGGTCGGAGCGCTGCGGCCACATGTATAAAAATGACCCAAGTGATAACAAAAATGTGGGGTTAGGTTAGGTTGAGACAATTTCTGGGCCGAGCTCTGTGATTAGGACAATCTAAGGGGCCGAGCGCTGTGGCCACATTTATTTAAATTTCAAAGTTGTTGCCGTTGTGTGGGGTTAGGTTAGGTTAACACAGTTATTGTGCGTCCGACATACAGAAAAGTGCAACCAAGTTGAGAAAGCTGTACAACCGACCTACAGTAGGTCGGATATACTAACTTTTTTGTTCATCCGACCTTCAAAAGTTGTGCATCCGATCTACCAAAATTGTACATCCGGCCTTTATAAGTTGTGCATTCAAACAACAAAATCTGTGCACCGACCTACAAAAGTTTTGCACCTGACCTACTAAAGTTGTGTATCCGACCTACCTAGCTTAACCAGACATGCCTACTGCCTAAGTTCAACTACGTCTCTCTTTGAACTTTAATTTCATTTTCTAACTTCTACGGCGTGTTTCCAAAATAATAACATTTATACTGTATTTCAATTTCAAAGATTTGCAGCACCGATTCTTTCAATTTTAACATTATGGCCGGGTTACAAGAACGAGAGGTTGGGATATATATATCAACGGTACAAACCCTGTAAAATAGGGTGTTCAAGAAACAAAAACAAATATAAAAACAGATGGGGTGTTTCAAGACTGACAGGTTGAATATTGTACCAAGCTGAGATACAGTTTACATATCACATATAGCAGAGGATACCCGTGCAGGACGGGTTGAGGAGATCTAGGAGCAGAGAGAATTCGTCTATTGCATCAAGTCCTCCAGCCGACGATATTTCTTGATTCGTTTCCATTCTCCAGTATTGTAATTCATCTAGAATAAATAAACTAAACCTGGTGTAACAAATCTGACACAATATCGTTTTTTGATAATTTTTTGCAAAATAAACTTTAATTTCAAATAATCGAGTAGTTTAGAAAGAAAAAATATCTATAAAACTGTTAACAACTAAATTCAGATACAAGACCTCTCTCTAAAAATCTGAAGTTCAGATATAAAGGAGTATCTTGTAATTTTTAAGATATTAATATTTTAATGTCAATTTGATTAGAACTTAATTATGAAACCCTTGGAAACAAGCTTAGCTCAAGATTACCCCCGGTCAGTTGTAATTTTCTATTGTTGCAAAATTCATACGTTTTCACATTGATAATTCTAGAAAATTATTATTCTTTTCACCAAATCAGAAAATTTCTAAAATTTCTAAAATTTGACAAATTTAACTGGCAAATGGTGAAAATAGCAATTTAAAAGGGTTGCAAGATCTGACCAAAATTTTCTCTGATCAACTAAACCTCAGAAAGTATTCGTTTAAAAACAAATTATTTCTTGCACCCAAACAGAACGATTCCACTTCTTTTTGGGGAATGGAGAAATTTTTGTCTTTTCAGCTTAAATCTGATAATTATGATTAAAAATGATAACAACAATAATAATAATAATGGTTTCTAATTTCTACCTGAAAATGAGTTTCTACAATCATGGTGAGGTAGGTATTATCATTCTGTGGAACATTCTCCTGGTTCTCACTAAGCTTGATGGTTACTATACTACCCAGATGAGGACACGGATTATCCCTAAACAAAACATGGTTTTAGTTTTATATTTAATTGTAATCATTTCGTGAGTTTATTGTTAAGCATTAAGTCTCCAGTAGGGGTATACATTTTTCAGAATTTTTCCGCACATGGCACGGGTTGAGATAATAAAGTACTAAACTTTTAAACCTTTATTTTTACCCCCTAAAAAATATTTGTTTTCTCCAAAAGTTCTATTTCAGTGATTAAACAATTTTAAAGAGGGGAAATCATTTTTCAAGATTAAGTACTGTAAGTACAACCATATTTAACTACTAAGTACTGTACACTAAGTACATCTATATTTAACTTCTCTGTACTGTAAGTACAACCATATTTAACTTCTAAGTACTGTAAGTACAACCATATTTAACTTCTAAGTACTGTAAGTACAACCATATTTAACTTCTAAGTACTGTAAGTACAACCATATTTAACTTCTAAGTACTGTAAGTACAACCATATTTAACTTCTAAGTACTGTAGTACAACCATATTTAACTTTTAAGTACTCTAAGTACGACCATATTTAACATCTAAGTACTGTAAGTACAACCATATTTAAATTCTAAGTACTGTAAGTACAACCATATTTAACTACTAAGTACTGTAAGTACAACCATATTTAAGTTCTTAGTATTGTAAGTACAACCATATTTAACTACTAAGTACCGTAAGTACAACCATATTCAACTTCTAAGTACTGTAAGTACAACCATATTTAACTTCTAAGAACAGTAAGTACAACCATATTTAACTTCTTTAGAGAGAAATCAGAAACTTGAAGAAAAAATAATTACGAAGTCAGTATAATCTGAGTTATATACTTTTGTTGATCAAACTTCTTAAGAGGTAAACACTAAACAACTCTATTAAAAGTGATCCGATCCCACCTCCTCTTGAGTAACAATAAAAAAGATAAGACATTTTACTGATAATTGTAAAATTTTACAAAGAAACCACAATTAAAAATATTCAATTTTTGCTAAAAAAACAAGAATGTCTCATTTACCATTGATCTGACAAATTTACAAGGTACCGTTGCAAATCGTACATGCCTATCAAAACTTACCTAGATCCTGCCATGAAACCAAGAATGAGCGCTTTCTCCGGTCTTGTAACTTTATTGGCAGTTCTAAACATCTCCTGAGCTTCCAACATCTGTTCCCGGGTTAGAGAAAGGTTTCGTCTTTGTCCAGGTTGGGTTGCTACCGGAGCTTGGATCGTCTGAACCGCAGGCTAAATATTAAAGTACTGATTAAGGTTTACTTCATGCAATGGTGAATATACTAAAGGTGAGGGGGATAAGGGATGTGTGTGCATTTGATATTGACGCATTATGTCCTAAACCGTCAAAGAATGTTCACACCCCCCCCCCCAAACCACCTTACATCTGTTAATTTGGATTATTGTCAGTTATTTATCAAAATGAACTGAAAAACTGCATCGATAAAATATGGGAATAAAAAAAAGTATTTTGGGATCTTTTTTTACCCTAAATAAAAATTAAGCAATTAAAAAACAACTGGCCAACTATTAGTGGGAGACTGCCGTTTTGACGTTTATGGATACAAACGGACAGACAGACAAACAAAGTATATATATATATAGATAAAGTACCTGTCTGAGTATCTGTTGATGTGGTTGAGCCTGTAGAAAGGTTTGCCTAGGCTGTTGCATGATTATATGCTGAGGTTGAACCACCGTCCTTGTAGCAGTTATATTCTGGTTCAATCCCGTCACTAGACCCTGGTTCAGGTTTATGGAGTTAAAATTTCCTTGAATCCCGGCCATTCTAACCTGGGGTAGGGGTTGGGTAGGCAGCTGGACAAGGCGGGTTCCGGCGGTTATCTGGGGTAGAGGTGTAGTAGGAAGGTTGATTGTCACCGGGGCTCCAGGTAGAGCGTTCTGTGGAGTGGCGAGAGGTAGGGTGACGGAGGGGATGGGGGCGTAGACTGGAGGCGGAGCAGCAGGAGCCTGGGGTGTCGGCGGAACATAGGCAGGCGGAGGAACTGCACTTTGATGCAAACTTCCAGCAAGGTTTGCTGCATAGTCGGGAGTAGGGTTGGGGTTAATATTCTCGCTCTTGATCTGAGCAGCAGCAGTAGCTTCTTCTGCTGCTTTCTTAGCATCCTCGATATCCTGCTGCCGCTTCCTCTTTTTAGCAGCAGTGTAGCCCATCGGCTGCTCCGTGATATCTAAAAGTTTTACTCCACCTTCTTTCTTCGAGGTTTGGCGGTTTGGAAGAGATACTCTAGGTGGTCGGAAACCACTGTTGTGTAGAGGACGGGAAGGTAATCCTTTCATAGGAGTAGTATCCGACATCTTCTTTGGCATTGTTCTAAACACATTCTTTATAAAATAATGTTTTGTTTTTACAACATAAAAATCCTGATAATATTATCGAGTACACCTTGTTCTCCACTTTTGATGGCAATATTTTCTCCTTTAAAAGGAAAGCGGAGTTATTACCTAATCCTTGATGGGAAGTCGGAGTTATTACCTGATCCTTGAAGGGAAGGCAGAGTTATTACATATTCCTTGAGGGGAAAGCGGAGATATTACATATTCCTTGAAGGAAAGGCGGAGTTATTACATATTCCTTGAAGGAATGGCGGAGTTATTACCTATTCCTTGAAGGGAAGGCGGAGTTATTACATATTCCTTGAAGGGAAGGCGGAGTTATTACATGAACCTTGAATGGAAGGCGGAGTTATTACCTGATCCTTGAAGGGAAGGCGGAGTTATTACCTGATCCTTGAAGGGAAGGCGGAGTTATTACCTGAACCTTGAATGGAAGGCGGAGTTATTACCTGATCCTTGAATGGAAGGCGGAGTTATTACCTGATCCTTGAATGGAAGGCGGAGTTATTACCTGATCCTTGAATGGAAGGCGGAGTTATTACCTGATCCTTGAATGGAAGGCGGAGTTATTACCTGATCCTTGAATGGAAGGCGGAGTTATTACCTGATCCTTGAATGGAAGGCGGAGTTATTACCTGATCCTTGAATGGAAGGCGGAGTTATTACCTGATCCTTGAATGGAAGGCGGAGTTATTACCTGATCCTTGAATGGAAGGCGGAGTTATTACCTGATCCTTGAATGGAAGGCGGAGTTATTACCTGATCCTTGAATGGAAGGCGGAGTTATTACCTGATCCTTGAAGGGAAGGCGGATGAACTGGAAAGTTTGACTTTATTGGCAGCTTCTTGTGACTTCTGCATAAGATCTGCCTTGAGCGCGGCAGCTTTTGGTTTTCGTTTCAGGTGAAAATGTTTACTTGGCTGAAAAAATAAACAAAAATTAATTTTATATTTCAAACTTTAAATCTGCGGTGTTATTTAATATTAAATCTATGATTATCATCCAGCTACAGCTTCTAGTTTTAAAATGAGCCGCGTATTTAATTCAGTGCGTTATGGAAAGCGAATCTAGTTAAACCAACTTTGAATTATTTGAATTATCTAAAATTCAAAGTGTCAATTTAGTCCAGTTTTAATCTAAATTGTAGACCCCCACTGGACCCCCTACTCGTAGTCCAGTTTTAATCTAAATTGTAGACCCCCACTGGACCCCCTACTCGTAGTCCAGTTTTAATCTAAATTGTAGACCCCCACTGGACCCCCTACTCGTAGTCCAGTTTTAATCTAAATTGTAGACCCCCACTGGACCCCCTACTCGTAGTCCAGTTTTAATCTAAATTGTAGACCCCCACTGGACCCCCTACTCGTAGTCCAGTTTTAATCTAAATTGTAGACCCCCACTGGACCCCCTACTCGTAGTCCAGTTTTAATCTAAATTGTAGACCCCCACTGGACCCCCTACTCGTAGTCCAGTTTTAATCTAAATTGTAGACCCCCACTGGACCCCCTACTCATAAAGTAAGCTAGCAAACAATAAATTTGAGAGGAAATTTTACAAAGGAATATAGTTTTTTTGAAAAATCATTTCACCCCAAGTATATTAAGAATATTTTCTCACTAGATTGGGAACAAAATGTTTCTTATAAAGAAATGAATGATTTTTGGATTAAACTTATCTAAGAGGGGAAAAAGGGTTGCCAATCGATGTCCGAAATTTCATTTTCAATCTTCGATTATTAAATTCTGAAAATTCTTTAGACAAAAAAACTTTTTAGATTCGAGGATTATTCTTGTGAAACATTGTTCCAAGTGGGTTCAAACATTAGGAGAGATGAGGTAAATATCCTACCTGAGGTTGATGACCAACTACAGAGATAAAAGCGTTCTTGTTGAGGTAGTGACACTCAAGAGGGAGTATGATATCGTTGGGTTCTCCGTGCTTCTTCACAACCTTCTTCTTCAGGTCGGAGAGAAGATCCATATAGATCTTCCTGTTCCCCTCCGGGACTATCACGTCGGGGTTCAACTGACCTAATGAGAGATTAATTTTGTAAAAATTGTGATTACAATTTCAGTTAGATTCTAAAAGTGGGGTTAGAGTTTCTTCATAAAAAAGTCCCCATGTTAAATTTTAACTGAGAATCGATATCCATGGAATTCTAAGGAGAAATTTTCAATATATTGATATTATTAAAAAACACCATAGATCAAAAGATATTCCTGGGATCACTGTGTCATAGACAGAGCAGGCAGATTTTAGATGAGGTATGTATTAGTTTTTTAAAAACTTAGCAGAAAAAGAGTTTATGCAATACATCATTCAATATAAAAATAGGTTGTATTTCAAAAAACGTTAGAAGATGAGAAAGAGGGAAAACATGGATACAAAAGGATATTTATATATGTACTGAAAAAATTCTTGGAAATTTTAACTGTTAAAATTTTTCAAATTAACAGAAGTGATTCAATGTAAATAATGTAATTTAAATTTTAGTGCTAAGCAAGAATGTCAGTTGCATTATTTAAGAACGTAATTAGTCGCAAACATCTTTATATGTCATAGAAAAAAAACCAGGTGTAGTCACAAAGAAATCATAATTAATCAACAGTGAAGATAAATATGCTGAAACTTATTATTTTAATTTTTAATTACACCCTTTTAACTGATTACATCGGCAAATAACTATTTTTAACACTGTTATTTTGGTTCACAGTGTTTTAAAGTTTTCAGACAGAAATTTTCTCTTTATCTAGAAGGCGAGAACCTTCGAGATATTGAGAAAATTTAAGTCCAAAAACTTTATAGCACGTTGTGTCAAAATAAATGTTATAGGTAATTTTATGAAACGTTTGTGTACTTGTCTTATTTCAATGGCTGTTTCTAGATCAAATAAGCTTTGAATAAAGCAGAAGTTAAAATGTAAAGTTGATTTCATTTTTTTTTAATTTCATTTGAAAAAAATTATTTTCGAATTATCCAAACTTTTTTGGAGAAACTCCCGGGAAACAATCAAAACTTTATAGCACACACGCTATTGTACAGCCTTACTATAACTTTATAGCACGATGATTACTTAGTAGCACGTTCATTATGAAATTCACGATGAAGTGAGTACAGTACACAATAGTTTCATAAAACGTAAACATTTACGAGTTTTTTATATACCTGTTGCGGGGAAAGTTTTCATAAGCTCTGCTAGCATAGAAACCCATGGTTCTGAATCTCTGAGTGCAACTTCTAGTATAGTTTCTAGCTGAGCCCGCCATAGTTCCAGATTTCTCCGTGATATGTGGAAGAAGGAGAGTAATAACTTTAACTTGACCTGGGGCTGCAAATCCTGGATAAAAAAATCCAGTATTAACCAAAGGTCAGAACAGGTAATTTCCTAGAGAAGGTCCAAAAATCGTATACTAGGAAATTACCAATATACGATATGATGAGATGTATACCTGGAAGCAATGTTTGATTTTGACTAATATATCAGGGTTCAACTGAGATACAATAGATCCACCCGTCCAGGAGTCATTAGAAGTTCCTGAACATGGAAATTAATCAATATCTGGACTTTCTACATAATATAAAAGTTATTGAGAAATTGTTCACGAACATTTTAAAATTAACAAAAATGAGTGGTAGGGGGTTTTTCCTACCTAATTTGTTGTGAAGCCAGAGAGATGTGTCACTCTGACTAACAGACGCCATATTGGAACTATAAACAGTGGGAAAAGGGGATAGTGATGTCTTACATAATATTTGGAAAAATAAATATTATTTTTATTAAGGAAGTTTTTTTTACTTTAAAAAGATAAATTGTACTTTTTAACAAATTACTTAATTAAAAATCAATTAAAAAGACCAAATAAAATTACTATTTCAAATAGAGTAGACCGAGTAGACCTCTATCCCCAAAATATATGCGCGCGTTCTTCTATTTTATTTGATCTGCGCATGCGTAACTCAGGGTTTCGTTTATACCAAGATAGGAAAAAAATTAAAATTAAAATTAAAAAATGTGAAATCCAAATTTAATATTTTGAAATGAGCCTGGTAGATACCAAAAAGAATTCTGGATATTTTAGAGAAATACTGCCCTGTTTAGTGTTCATCACAACAAATGTCATAACAATCGGAACTTCTGAGGGAATTGAATTCTGCACTATAACCCTTGAGCTCCATGAAGCCGGTTTTATAGTTACCTGTTCATGTGAAAGTACGAGAGTACGTGACTGCAGTGTATTCATCAATCGCTAACTACCTTAAATGCTATTAAATTATGGACTTAAAAAGTATTTTTATTTTTATTATAACTTTATTACTATTGCTGAGTTCAAACACATAGTTACATACATAATCGACATTCATTGCGTAATTCGTATGGATGGAATTTGATGATGTTACCTATCTTTTTCAATATATTTTAATATTTTTCTGTAATTTTGGACAAGTTAAGAAATCCAGATTTGAACATATAAATTAATAAATTTTAAAGAATTTTAGCTCTACGATTAAAATTAGAATGATCTCGAGTGTAGAGTGTAGAAATATAGGTTAATTCAGATTAACCTAAGTTTGAAGCAAGTATTCTATTTCATGCTTGGGGTTATTAAGATTATTTTTAGAATTATGTATTTAAAATTTAAAAAAGGAAAAATAAAACTAGGCTCTTCTATTTCCATTGTGAACATTTGCTTTTTATGCATTGTTTTTCTAAAAAAAATTTCTAGGATTTTCAGAATTTAATGGAAATCGAATTTTGTTGGAGGAGCGGAGGAAGGCAGGCGGCCATGAGCCACCACTATTTCCCCTTCCGTACCACCACATTTGACTCTTCCGGGCAAAACTACTTTTTAAATGGTATATTTAGGGCATTTAAAGTGTGATTTTAACAAATCCAGCCGCGTCACGCAAAAAAAGCACAACTCAAACCATTTTTCCAATTCTACTTAAGATTAATATTTTGTGTGTTGAATTCTTAAACTGTTTTACAATGAAATTTCCCCCGCTCGTTGGAGGATAATTTTTTGAAATTTTGATCATTCATAAAGTCCCTGATGTCATGTAAGGTCCAACCCAAATTTTGAACCCGATCGATTCGATCGGTTCAGCCGTTTTGACGTTTATTAGACAAAAACAAACAAACAAATAGACAAGCAAAGTATATATATAGAAGGAATATTAATGAAGTATGAAGTACAATTAAAAAGTAGGTATATTCCTAGAGAACGATTTTTGGACGGCCCCGGCCCCCCCCCTCCTATCAATAATTTGTACATGAATCTTAAATGCAAGACATGTGGCCGCAGCGCTCGGCCCAGAAAGTGTCTTAACTTAACCTAACCTGTGGCTGCAGCGCTCGGCCCCTAGCCTGTCCTAGCCGTAGCGCTCGGCCCTGAATGTGTCTTTACCTAGCATAATCCTAAAATAATACAAAATAACTTAAAATTAAAGGTCTTATACAAAATTGATAGGAGGGGGGGGGGGTCCAAAAATCGTTCTCTAGGACAGACCCAAAAAGTATTTATTTTAACAAAAACATTGAAGAAAATACGCCCTCTGAGTCTGATCACGTATCTACGGCGTGCATTATATACTGTCGGCTGGATGAGCTGGATTGTCTAGAAAAAAGAAGGGAGTGTCACATTTTTCAAATCATGAGTTGGATGGGGAGGGGTTTAGACTCCGTCACCTTTCTTCTGTTGGTCATATGTCTGCAATTTATGAAACTTAAATTTCGCTTGACGGGCAGAAGTGCATCAATAAATATATGTATATATGTATATAACGTACAAAGGTTGAATGTCTTGAATCTTAAATAAATCATTTTTCTCATTATCAGTTATTCATTTATCTCTAAAGAGTGATTAAATCTTTGAATCAACTTTTTGGAAATATTTTTTCTTCAAAGATTTTGATTTCGCATGTATGCAGTATTCACCCCTGGCAATGATTGCAGTCAGATTGACATAATGCTTTCCTTGAACTTGTAAAGGATAAATAGAGGACAGTTGACAAACTTAAGCCATAATAGCCTGTGAAGTAAGAATCAAAACAAATGTATTATAAAAATCGAAAAGTAGCGAAATACTAATCATATTTCGTCTGTTAAGCGACTGAATTGAAAATACTAGAGGATACTCTTGCATCAATTAAAGTGAATTATTTTAATCCCTTCTCTTGCCCGCCAACGTTAGATCCCAATTTCTGTATTAGTGTCAAATATTTTTCCTCATTCATCTTGAACTTCCATTTCCCAGCTACAAATACATCTCTTCTCTCTTCGGTTTTATCCCTTATTTTTTCTTCATTTCCATCCTTTTTCAGTTCCATCCCCACTCTATTGTTATATCTCTTCTCTTCTCAGTTCTATCCCTTCTCTTCTCAGTTCTATTCCTTCTCTTCTCAGTTCTATCCATACTCTTCTCAGTTCTATCCCTACTCTTCTCAGATCTTTTCCTTCTCTTCTCAGTTCTATCCCTTCTCTTCTCAGTTCTATTCCTTCTCTTCTCAGTTCTATCCCTTCTCTTCTCAGTTCTATCCCTTCTCTTATCAGATCTATCCCTTCTCTTCTCAGTTCTATTCCTTCTCTTCTCAGTTCTATCCCTTCTCTTTTCAGTTCTATCCCTTCTCTTCTCAATTCTATTCCTTCTCTTCTCAGTTCTATTCCTTCTCTTCTCAGTTCTATCCCTTCTCTTCTCAGTTCTATCCCTTCTCTTCTCAGTACTATCCCTTCTTTGCCCAGTTCTATCCCTTCTCTTCTCAGTTCTATCCCTTCTCTTCACAGTTCTATTCCTTCTCTTCTCAGTTCTATCCCTTCTCTTCTCATTTCGATCCCTTCTCTTCTCAGTTCGATATTTCTCTTCTCAGTTCTATCTCTTCTCTTCTCAGTTCTATTCCTTCTCTTCTCAGTTCTATCCCTTCTCTTCACAGTTCTATCCCTTCTCTTCTCAGTTCTATCCCTTCTCAAATCAGCTTTATCCATTCTATCCTCTGTTCTATCTCTTGTCTTCTAAGTTCTATCCCTTCTCTTTTCAGTTCTATCCCTTCTCTTCTCAGTTCTATCCCTTCTTTTCTCAGTTCTATTCCGTCTCCTCTCAGTTCCCTTCTCTTCTCAGTTCGATACCTTCTCTTCTCAGTTCTATCCCTTCTTTGCCCAGTTCTATCCTTTTTCTTCACAGTTCTATCCCTTCTTTGCCCAGTTCTATCCCTTCTCTTCTCAGTTCTATCCCTTCTCTTATCAGTTCTATCCCTGCTCTTCTCAGTTCCATCCCTTCTCTTCTCAGTTCTATTCCTTCTCTTCTCAGTTCTATCCCTTCTCTTCTCAGTACTATCCCTTTTTTGCCCAGTTCTATCCCTTCTCTTCTCAGTTCTATTCCTTCTCTTCTCAGTTCTATCCCTTCTCTTCTCAGTTCTATTCCTTCTCTTCTCAGTTCTATCCCTTCTCTTCCCAGTTCTATCCCTTCTCTTCTCAGTTCTATCCCTTCTCAAATCAGCTTTATCCATTCTATCCTCTGTTCTAACTCTTGTCTTCTAAGTTCTATCCCTTCTTTTCTCAGTTATATCCCATCCCTTTTCAGTTCTATCCCTTCTTTGCCCAGTTCCATCCCTTTTCTCCTCAATTCCATCCCTTCTCTTCTCAGTTCCATCCCTTCTCTTCTCAGTTCCATCCCTTCTCTTTACAGTTCCATGCCTCCTCTTCTCAGTTCCATCCCTTCTCAAATCAGCTTTATCAATTCTATCCTCAGTTATATCTCTTCTCTTCTAAGTTTCATCCCTTCACTTTTCAGTTCTATCCCTTTTTTGCCAAGTGCTATCCCTTCTCTCCTTAGTTCCACCCCTTCTATTTACAGTTCCATGTCTCCTCTTCTTAGGTCTATCCCTTCTCTTCCAAGTTCCATTCCTTCTCTTCTCAGTTCTAATCCTTTCTTTTCCATCCCTTTTCTTCTCAGTTCTAATCCTTGTCTTCTCAGTTTTATCCCTTCTCTTCTCAGTTCTATCCCTTCTCTTCTCAGTTCTATCCCTTCTCTTCTCAGTTCTATCCCTTTTCTTCTCAGTTCTAATCCTTCTCTTCTCAGTTCTATTACTTATCTTCTGAGTTCTAATCCTTCTCTTCTCAGTTCTATTACTTCTCTTCTGGGTTCTGTTCCTCCTCTTCTCAGTTCCATCCCTTCTCTTTTCAGTTCTATTACTTCTCTTCTCGGTTCTATTCCTTCTCATCTCAGTTCCATCCCTTCTCTTCCTAGGTTCCATATCTTCTCTTTCCAGTTCCATCCCCTCTCTTCTCAGTTCCATTCCTTCTCTTCTCAGTTCTATCCATTTTCTTTCAGTTTTAATCCCTTCTGTTCTAAAAGATATCCAAAGTCAGCATGCATGGACAAGGCCAAAACATGAAAAGTTTCAATCTTACAGCAGCTTTTTGCTTAATTTTTGTATCTCTCCATTCTCTTTATCCATAAAAAGTATCTTAGTTAAAATTACATTGTGCTTAAACTTACCCTTTCCGGTTAAAGACAATATTTTGACATTTTTCTCCAGATTTAATATATCGACGTCTTCTGCGAATGAACTATAACACTGCATGAAAACTTCTCTCGGCACGGCAATTTTTAAGATAAACAATCATTTTGTTTAGAATAATAATGCTTATTTTTTTAAGATAAATTGTGACATTTTCAATTTTGATTAAGTTATAAGTGTCTTGAACGATCTAAATCAAAATATTCAATTATTACACTTTTTATTTCAGACGAACATGCGCCGGGTGTTTTCCTTCAGGGGATGCGGTTTCCCAGCTGGAAAACCTAAATTTTTTACTCCCAATCTGAGATACATCCAGTCTTCAGCCTTTAATGCAGGGTTGGCGAGACCTAGACTTGAAAAAGGTTAGAAATGAAAACTAAACTTACCTGAACATTAATTTTTGTATCAAATGTAAATATGTGAATGTAAATGGTGATGTGTAAAAAAATTTTTAAATATGTATTTTCTATTGCAGATGACAGAGACAGATTGCGGCGAGATCTTGAACTAATTGTTGGAGAGAAGAACGTCTCTTCAAGTGAATCTGTTCTAGCTCAGCACGGACAGGACGAAGGACCGCATAAAGGTTGTAATAAACAAAAATACAATTAACATATACACAACCAAATTATAACTTTTTACTAGATTAATATCATGTACTGCATAGACTTTTCATAATTAAAGAGATTGCTTGGTCAGTCCCTGATATAGACAATCACAATTTGATTTTAAAAAAAGCTCTTTGGCGCAAAACAGGCCAAACTTCAAGTCTCTTTTTAATTTATTCGTGATGTTAAAAGACCCGAGATAAAACAAAGTCCATCATATTTATCATATATGCTGAATAACGGGCTGAAAACCCGGAATGTGTGCTGGAATTAAGCCTCTGACCTATACAAATGATGCCTTAAGCATAATTTGATTTGATATGATAATTTAGAAAATATTATTTTCTATTTGTTAAGGTTTACCTCCAGATTTTGTAGTCTGGCCATCCAGTACTGAGGAGGTTTCTGAGATCTGTAAAGTTTGCACTGCAGGAAGGATTCCAATCATTCCTCATGGAACAGGAACAGGATTAGAGGGAGGAACTACAGCTGTAGCTGGAGGAGTAGCTGTCAATGTAACCAAGAACATGGAGAATATTGAAGCTGTTTATCATGAAGATTTCACTGCTATAATCCGTCCTGGAGTTACAAGAGAAGGATTGAACCAGGTGAATTATAGTATTTATTGACAAACATTTTGAATATCTTTAGTGCGTAATTTGTAAGAAAGAAACTGCAGACTTTTCTATTTTTGAAAGGAATTGTTTTTTCTTAATCATATATCTTTGCAACCCAACGTCATAGACCTTAGAAATTATAGAATATGAATTCTATTAGATCAAATAATCTGGGCGGATTATACAGACCCCAGTCATTTTAAAAATTAAATGCATATCACAAGGGGAAATACTGATGGGTGAATTTGATTGTAAGTCAGAACACCCCCAAGCAGTGTTCCCTTAGATTAATGAAGTTTGAAATATCAAAGTTTTACACCATCAGACAGCAAAGATACAAGGATTAGAAAGTTTGTGTTTGTAGCAATGACTCAAATAATTTCTTATTGGTGAAGAGGAGACTTTTGTGGATTCTCTTGGTCAGAGCTTTCGAGTTTTACATAAGGAGTTAACTTAATCCGCCAAACTACTGAAGATGTGAATTAGTCTTTTCTGTATAGATTAGCAATACAGTAGTTCCTATTTTAGGTGGACCATTAATATACAGCTGCATACATATTTAGTCAATTAAAAGACTGAAAAAGCATTGTACTACTAATTTTTTTTCAACGTCGGATAAAAATGATCTATTTTTGTTAAGGTTTTCTGTCATTTTTGTTTGCTTCCATCTTAACAAGTGATTTTGTGGTTCAACAAAATACTAAAAGATGTTTTTTTTTATCCTTTTATATTTAGGATGTGAAAGCTGCTGGTCTGTGGTTCCCAGTCGATCCTGGAGCTAATGCGTCTATATGTGGTATGTGTGCTACTGGAGCTAGTGGAACCAATGCTGTGAGATACGGAACCATCAGGGAGAATACGTTGAACCTGGAGGTTGTGTTGGCGGATGGAAGGATTGTAGAGACGGGAGGGAAAGGATCAAGACCAAACAAGGTTCTTCATATCTTAGAATTGTTTGGACCTGGATACAACCTGACACTATGATTGTTTAAACCTGGATACAACCTGACACTATGATTGTGTAGACCAGGATACAACCTGAAACTATGATTGTTTAGACCTGGATACAACCTGACACTATGATTGTTTAGACCTGGATACAACCTGACACTATGATTGCTTAGACCTGGATACAACCTGACACTATGATTGTTTAGACCTGGATACAACCTGACACTATGATTGTGTAGACCTGGATACAGACACTAAAGATTGTCTAGACCTGGATACAACCTGACAATATAATTGTTCAGACCTGGATTCAAACTGACGCTATGATTTCTTAGACCTGGATACAACCTGACACTATGATTGTCTGGAACTAGATATTACCTGACACTATGATTGTTTAGCCCTGTATACAACCTAATACTATGATTGTTTAGACCTGGATACAGCCTGACACTATGATTGTTTAGACCTCTGCAGGATACAACCTGCCAAATAAGAAAGGCCAAATAAGAAAAAAAAATCTAAGAAAAAATTAAAAAAAAAAACATGTCAAAAAATAAAGAATAAAATGTCAAGGAAAAGAAAAAATAAAAACTCTACCAAAATAAAAAAATAAATGTCCCTGATTTTTAATCTTGATTCACTGGATATTCGTAATTATTGAATATAATATACTCTGTATATGCAACCATATGAATATCATGACAACAATCGGAAATTTTCTTATATGCTCCGCCAGGAGTCCTGAAAATAATCCTAACATAAACATAAACAATGTTCAGACCTGGATACAACCTGACACTATGATTGCTTGGACCTGGATTCAACCTGACACTTTGATTGTTTTTATCTGGATTCAACCTGACACTATGATTGTTTAGACCTGGATACAACCTGACACTATGATTGTTTAGACCTGGATACAACCTGACACTATGATTGTTTATTCCTGGATAAAACCTGACACTATGATTGTTTATTCCTGGATACAACCTGACACTAAGATTGTTTTATCTGGATTCAACCTGACACTATGATTGTTTAGACCTGGATACAACCTGACACTATGATTGTTTAGACCTGGATAAAACCTGACACTAGATTGTTTATTCCTGGATACAACCTTACACTATGATTGTTTAGACCTGGATACAACCTGACACTATGACTGTGTAGACCTGGATACAACCTGACACTATGATTGTTTAGACCTGGATACAACCTGACACTATGATTGTTTGGACCTGGATACAACCTGACACTATGATTGTTTAGACCTCTGCTGGATATAACCTGACAGGATTGATGGTTGGCTCTGAGGGGACCTTGGGCATTATTACAAGAGCAACTGTTCGTCTTCACGCTATACCTGAATCCATAGCTGCCGCTGTCGTCAGTTTTCCAACAGTCCAGGAAACAAAATTATTCACTTAAATTTTAATAAAAATAAAAAATACTTTCTGTGAAGAACTCAAAGTCTGGTTTTCATTTAAATTGCAATAAAACTTTAAAGTTACAATGCTCTCTGTTAAGAACTTCAGGTTTGTTTACATTTAGTTCTAGAACATAATTATACGTTTGTTTATTCGTTTTTGTATTAATATAATACATATAGATGTATCAAATAAAAATTTTAAGTTTTGAATTATGAATTATGAGAAAACAAGATTAACCTGTTCTGTTTTTCAAAATTTTCCAGCTTGTGACAGTTCAACTAAGCACAAACATATCTTAATTTTGTTCACATTAAAAGCATATATACTGGTATTAAGTTTTGAAAACTTAATCTTGAAACAAAATGAACAATGATGAATTGATATTGTCAGGCTGCAGTAGACACTGTAGTGAGTACACTCCAGTGTTCTATCCCTCTAGCTCGGATAGAGTTCTTGGACGAGGTTCAGATGATGGCCTGTAATAAGTACAGTGGACTTGACTATCCAGAGGTCCCACACTTATTCTTAGGGATATTAATCTTTTATATACCATAAACCATTGCTTGGCTGACAGTCCAATCCCAGGTATACATAATTGATCGGTCTGAGGGATGGAGTTCTGTCAACCCTTTGCAGTGGCAGGCACGTGATAATAAATACATAAATACTTACAAAGAAAATACTTGACGTATAAATTAAGTAACGTTTTCTGACAAAAAAGAATTCTAAATATTTAATGCAATATTGCAACTCCTGAACAATTATAAAGGGTGTATATTATAAATGATTTCTACCTAGCATTTCATCTCTAATTACATTTAAATCTACGAATATTGAGCTGAAAATGTTCAAAATCATCAGCATGCACTTAAGTGAGAAGGTTGCATTGACTACAGATGGGTCTTGTATTAAAAAGTGGCTCAAAAAGTCCAAGAGTTGGCTGTGTCCAGAGTTTCCAACTGCCAACGTGCTATAATTATCCAAAACTATCTTCCAGCTGGATATAGATTGTCAGGTTATAAAATTATAATCAAAGGAGTCTTCAAGCTGGATATAGATTGTCAGGTTATAAAATTATAATCAAAGGAGTCTTCAAGCTGGATATAGATTGCCAGGTTATAAAATTATAATCAAAGGAGTCTTCAAGCTGGATATAGATTGTCAGGTTATGGAATTATAATCAAAGGATTCTTTAATAAGTTTAAAATCACCAAAAAAAGAAGTATGAAGTAATGGCGCCATGCTTTAATCGTTTGAAAGGGAGTGGAAGGAAGCTTATTTCAGATATTTCAAGTCCAAATCCAAGGAAAATTAAAACAAATTGAGACGATTACACAGAAAGATTTCCTCTCATGTCCATGTCCATGTCTAAGATATAAAAAAGCATGGCAAAAAAAGCTTTTAGATCTCCACAGATAAAATAGGGTAATAAGTATCTTCAATTGTATGGTTGAGCTGTACCTTTCATTTATGACTGAAACCTAAAAATCGAGCACTTGATGGCATAATAAATAGCAAACTAGATGAAGATGCACGCAAATAAGAACCTCTAGAACCTCTTTAGAGTGTAGAAGGTTGATAGAGTCTATGTAATGTCTACTGTCCAGCTATAGCTGGCAGCTGCAGATGACCTAAAATAACTTCTAAATCATTTTAAAATGCGATTTTTCTGCATGGACTAGTTTCATTATAACCAATATTAGTTAAATATAAATTTTTATTGCCAATATTGAGAGTTCTAGAATTCAAAATGTAAGTGGGAACCTTTTTTATTGTACACCCTTTAGTCTAGTAGTATAAGAAAAGAAATGTACAGCAAACATTAAAATCCTGCGTGGCAGAGAACAATTACATGATTAACGTTTTATCAATATATAATACGACAATTTGAAATATCGTCTTGAATCACGAATCGTCACGGCGTCTACTTTCCAGAGTTTTCTTACTGAAATTTTTACAAGATAAATTAAATTAATTTATCCAAGTTTGTTGAGGCGTAAAAAGATTAATGTTACGATGAATCAGAGTTTCATGGATCCCAGAGCGAAGTCGAAGCTCAAGCTGCTATGGTAAATGAGATTTCAAACGAGTTTGGAGGTATTTTAAGATATTATGAATTTAATTGAAAAATATATAATAATAAAAAGTTATGATTTTAATAAATGCATAAAAATACTTGTAAAAAACAAGGAGCATTTTTAGCCAATGTTATCTTCTGTTCTTCACTGATAAAATGATGTTTAAGACCTGTTTTGAACCGGAGATGATTCTAGCATTTACTCGGATCAAGTCCTGATCAGAACTGAACAGTGAACACTAAACAGGGCTTTTAGACTGGCATAAATGTTTTTTTTTACTTTAAATTAGTGCTTAGGATCAATTTAATTTTGATGCGGATCTGGATCCTGGATCCGTCCCATGAAATAATGTCATGAATATTTCATATATGAATGTCATGAATATTTAGTTACAGATTTTTTAAACGAATGAAAAAATTTCCATTTTTTTATTTCACTCCTTTTTATGCTGAAGCTCAATGAATCATTCAGAGATTATATAAAATATTTAATAATCGCTCATTACTCATTAGTTTACAGTTGAGATTTGGAATTTCGCCCCTTGGGTCTGAATCAGTGGATCCGCATATTTTTGCGGATCCGGATCATAAGCACTGCTTTCAACTGACGCATCATTACATGCATTGTATTATCCAGGAGGTGAATTTGCCTGGGCTTTACAACAAGAAGATCGAACTAAACTTTGGACAGCTCGTCATAGAGCGTATTACGCGGATGTTGCACTGCGTCCAGGATGTAGATGCGTCACAACAGACGTTTGTGTTCCTGTCTCCGCTCTGCCGGAGATGATCAGGGAGACGAAGGCGGATATTGAGAAGAACGGATTGATTGGTCCCATGGTGGGCCACGTGGGAGATGGAAACTTTCACACCATGCTGCTGTTTGATCCTGAGGATCAGGAGGAGTATAAGAGGTGTAAGGAGGTCGCTAACAGGATGGGAATGAAAGCCCTGACTCTCGGTGGTAAGCTCGAAATCAAACTCAAATATAGTTTTAAATAATCTCTGATTGAAAATTTTTGCTTGTTTTTATTTAAACCAATAGGATGAAAATCTTCATAAATTGCTAAATTATTTATTTATGAAATATTTTTAATATGTCGAGAAGAATATAGTACCAGAGATTTAGATGGACTGTAATCGCAATGTCAAGTGCCCCCTTATGCAAAGATGGCAATGTCTTATTTACAATGGTACCCTTGAGACCTTTATCTAATCAATGATCTTGAAAATATGGTCGTTTTTAGGCTTAAAATGGTTTAATTCTGATATTTCCTATATATATATACCACAAGTAAAAAATATCAGTTTTTAAAATTAATAACATTAATAATAACGAATTCATACCTGATCAGACAAAGCTTCGAAGGATACGGTTGTTAATCGGACGTTGCCACCTTTGTATGAAGTGAGGGTCACTTTACATTCTCTTCAACGAACTGTCCCCTTTGTTTTTGTTTAATATCTACAATTATTTAACATTCGTGACAAAAACAATATTGTTCCTCACAGTTGTATAATGTTTAGGAACGTGTACCGGCGAGCATGGGATAGGATTGGGTAAGATCGGGTTGTTAAAAGAACAGTTTGGGGAGGAAGGTATCTCAATGATGAAGAACATCAAGGCGGCCCTGGATCCATTGAACATTATGAACCCCGGCAAAGTTATCTAAATTTATTCCAGACTTGTCGTAGACCAGCTTATATTAGGACTTCGGAGACGAATACAGAGATCTTGAAAGAGAGAGGGTGTAAAAAAGTCGCCCCCCCCCCCCACTAATTGCGCCCATCAAGTACTTAGTTTCCAGTGGATAGATAGTGTTCATCATATCAAAAATCATTAGCATTGTCCTGCGGAGTGCATATCAATGTTACATCCATTGATTATTATTGACTGTATTTACCTTGCTAAGCATTAATTGAATATATATTCATGTATTTATACCTAACATAAACAATGTAGTTTTACAAATGTTTTACTCATAGATTTGCTTGTGATTTTTTATGCACATCGTGACATCATGCTTCTATATTTCTCATAAATATTCTTATGTATTTTACATAGAGACATGCCTAATACAGCATAACGCATAGATATTTCCATGAATTATACACAAATGTGATCAATGTAAGTAACTATATTATACGAAATTGATAGCCTAGAAGTTGGAAATAAATGAAAATAGAGAAGTAGTGGAAATTAGGTTGGTTCAACTTTTAGTTTCAGGTAAAAAATGCTCCTGAAACTTATGAAATTGGAGATATATAAGTAATATTGAATACTAATAAATTTATATTTGTTGTGAAATTTTTTTACCGTTATGTTAATGTTTATCTTGGGAAAAGATTTTGAATCTCAAGGTTCATGTTTATTCGGACACCTTGTACATTGAAGAATCTCAAGGTTCATGTTTATTCGGACACCTTGTACATTGAAGAATCTCAAGGTTCATGTTTATTCGGACACCTTGTACATTGAAGAATCTTTATTTTATTATAATTATTTTTATTTAATTCCCTATTATTAAAATTTTTTTTAGTAATATGTTGAGAAAGGAATTTTTAACGTTGTTAAATTTGGTTAAAAAATATCGGATGTTACATTTTTTTACGTAACAAAGTTTGAAATTTTCACTGCAGGATTCGGCTTCTACTCTTGTTAGTTTTAGTTATTGACAATAATTTAAATAATCATTAAATAAATTCATAATTATATATTCCCCATTTTATTATATTTCTAATTTCAAAGAGGTGTTCGATGTCTATTTTAATCAAATGTGAACAAAATCATACACTGTAGTGATCGGTGTTTATGTCAATCAACTGACGACTTTATATTTAAGCTTTGATTTTTGACTAGTTTTATTCAGAATAGACAAACGTAGCAAATCTGTTATCAAATGGAAAAGTAATCTGGTTTTTAAAATATTAACGGTTTAACACATTTTTTCGGGTTATATTAAAGTAAACTAAAATATGATCATTTAGGCTTATTTGCAGTATTTTTGGGGGAACGGGGGCGGGGTCTGGTATTTTTCGCTGAAATTTTGTAAATCTGATTTAGGGGTTTTAACCGAGATAAGACATAACTTAACAACAAATAAACCTAATTAATTTAATTAATTTAAAATCGTTGATTTAATTTAATTAATTTTTTAAATAATATTTGAAAAAAAAAGAATATTTTCCCATTTACAGCTATCTGTGTCTCTACCGTGTAAATTTGAAACTGAAATAGAAACTTGTATTGTTGTCTACGATGACCACTGTAATAAAATTCTTAATAATTGTAATGTACTTGTTGCACATCAGAAAATTCTTAAAAATTAGTTTTTTCTAAAAATAATCTGAATGTCTTCTATGTTTTCAGATAAAAACCATGAAATGTAATTGGAGATTCTGTGAAAATTTATGAACTGTACACTTAACGTACATTGTATGTACACTGTTTGTACACTGTACGTACACTGTATGTACAGTAGGTGAAGGCTGTGCCCTTTTTATTTCAATTTAGCTTTTAATTGTTCCTCTGCAATTCGCCATTTTTAACCAGTCTCAAATTTTAAGGTATTTTTTACTGTCGACATTTTTTCCAGACAAAATTTTTCTACTTTAAATGTTCATAAACCCTCCCTGGGTCAAAATTTGATCTAGCTCGGTTTAGTCGTTTTGACCTTTATTAGAGACAGACAAATAAGCCAAATTTATTTGTGGACATAGATTAAATACTCGGACGATTGGAATATATTTATTTAATGGATTGAAATTTGTACAAAAATCTTAATGTCTGGGTTATTTTGAAGCCGCAAAAAAGACGAAAAACATTTTGGAATTTTTTTCACCAGGTTTTTATATTTTTACTCAATTAATGCTAAAATAATGTTTACAAAAATATGCTGCGTGGAGTTAGTCAATTTTCATGTTTATTCGGACACCTTGTACATTGAAGAATCTCAAGGTTCATGTTTATTCGAACACCTTGTACATTAAAGAATCTCAAGGTTCATGTTTATTCGGACACCTTGTACATTGAGGAATCTCAAGGTTCATGTTTATTCGGACACCTTGTACATTGAGGAATCTCAAGGTTCATGTTTATTCGGAACCTTGTACATTGAGGAATCTCAAGGTTCATGTTTATTCGGAACCTTGTACATTAAGGAATCTCAAGGTTCATGTTTATTCGGAACCTTGTACATTGAGGAATCTCAAGGTTCATGAAAGGGTTCAATTATATCTGCGGTTCAAAGCTTTTCACCAAACAGAACAAGAACAAAATTAAACTATCAGAACTTGATAGTGAGCAATAATAAAAAGTAATCGAACATCCTTCATGGATTAAACTTATTTTGAAGTTTTATGTAATTTACTTTTGGTTTTTATCATAATTGGAAAACAAGCAAATTTTAGAATTGATTATTTTTAATGATGTGTGTATACAGAATTGGGGGGAGATTGGGGTCTTGCCTTTTTGTGTTGTGGGAATATGAGATATGAGTCCCCCCCCTCCCATCGGGTTATATACGCTCGTGAGATAATTGACGACCTATCGGAAATATATTAAAACATCCGAATTTGACCATATAACGTTACACAATTTGAATATAATCTTGGTAATTATCATTTCCCTCTCCTGCCTTTAAAGCATATACTCGCAAGTAATAAATATTCTTGCGTTTTATAATCATTATTCATGTCTACGATAGCAATATATCTTATTATAATTGATGTTTTGCCCCTGAATTCTTTGTTTTGATCTCTTCCCATCCCACTGCAGTGACTGCAGTAGATATGGCGTTTTCTTGATTGACGACACTTAAAAAATTTTAAAACACATTACACAGACAGAGAAAATTTGTTTTCCCATATATTATAATCTGTTAATTGCATTTATTTCCAGCTTAAAGTGAAAAAAGGAATTATTTTGCTGCCACAAACTAATCCCCATATCTTTGCAATCTGCAGTTTCTTAAATATTTCAAATTATTGATTCTAAAAGATGTAAGGATTTAAAAATTTGAGATTTGGTGAAGATTCAGTTGCTTTGATAACAATTATCTAAAATCTATAAACATTAATCATTAAAAATCACTTTAATGTGATTTTTGGTGATGTACAAAAAAAATTAAATTCAAATCCGGCTCTGGATTCAAAACCAGGTCAATTTTCAAAATTCTTTTTTTTCGCTTATTTTATGCTAAAACTTAATGAACCAATCAGAGACAATGCAATTTTTAATTTTAATAATCTCTCTTTTATCATCAACATTTCATTTTTACAGTTGTTTGTTGATATTTTGCCCTTTGTATCAGCCTATTTTTGCGGATCTGGACCTAGAATGCCAAAACACCCTGAACTAACCAGAGAGAGAAGCATTCGGTTTCTTTTATTTGAAATAAAACGTGCTTTCGTCTATAACTCAACAGTCTTTAAACTTACAGATTTGTTTATTTTATACTTTTTCATCAAAATGTATATGCCAGCAAAAAAATATTTAAGATGAAAGGCTATAAAATTATGTTAAAGGGGTCAAATTGTGATCGAAAGTCACAAGTTTTCTGAAATATTGACCGAACCGTTAAATCTACGTGAAAATGTTGCGGATTCATCGGATGAATCGGATCCAGATCCTGAGCAAGCTGCTTCAAAAGATACTGATACTGATTGTTTTTTTTCCTGTTTAAGCTAAAAATTAAAATTTACTTTTTAGATTTATATGTCCAGGGAGTCCAGGGTACTATAAATATTATAAAGATGATGTTAATTAGTTCTATTTATATCCTAGAGTTTATTTTAAAACGTGGGAATGATATCCTGCTTTTCCTTTTGTTAAACCATTTTCAACATTCTTTGTTTTCAGGCCCTGGTCGAGATTTAAGATATTCGTGGCGCCTCGGGGAGCAGGATAGAAAAATTTAATACAATAATTACTTATAATCTCTCTCATTCAAATTTTCATTGTCGGGTGCCCCTCTTCTCTTTTGAATTGAATGTTTGTGGTGGGATTTATTAAAAAACAAAAGAGGGCTTAGCGGTCTATTGACAATAGAGTAATATGCACAAAATTGGGTTTTGGTCAAGGGAGCGGACGGGTCGAGTGGGGGGAGGTGCAGGGANTGTATTGTTAAGGTATGAGAGAGGGAGGAGAGGAATGTTAAAGACTAGAAGCTTTTCATTTGAACGGAATGATCCATTTGCCGAGAAGGATTAGATCTGCGTCTGAAGGAACCTAGGCCAGAAATCTGGAATGTTCCCGGAGCGAATCTAAGGGGCGCGGAGCTGTAAATTAATCAGGGATGATCGCTCGTGAAGGTTTCACGTTTTAGGAAAAATGCTTCATGTATGGGGAATTTATAGGAATAAAACTGTTGTTAAATTTAATATTTCAAACAAATTAACTATTATAAAGCTGAGCACATTTCATGAGTATAAACTCAAAATAATTGGACTTTTTCATAATTTTAAGATATCATTTTTGGTGATTTTACATATGGATTACACCCCTGAGCTTTACTACATTGCTTGGTATTGAGGAGTTGAGTAGAGGGGGAGGGGGGATATATGCTAGAAAAGGGTAGGGAGAGGGGGGTATACTCTAGCGAGGGGGTGCTGGGCAGCTCAGATAGGCTCCCGCAGAGCCTTCAGGTAGATTCAAGATGGCGGAACCTTACTGTGACGTCAGAGCTCTTACAACGAACTGTGGAATGTGACGCATACCTTTTCCAACTAAACAAGTGTTATTTTTTAACTTTTCTAAATTACTTTTAAAAAAATTTTCACTGAAAATGCATGCAATGACTGAAAACATTGTTTTTGAATCATCAAACATGAAAATTATTTTCCTTAACCCCCTTCCCGCCCCGCCTCCAGACCCCCCCCCCGCGTCCACCTTTATTGGTCCGCGTCTCCCCCCAGTTCTACTCAGGCAACCTGACTGTCCGGTATACCGTCTATACTACCTTCATTAAACTGTGGTTACCTGGCTTTCGCGTAACTTTCCGGACGAATGCATAACTTCCCCCCTCATACACGGGAAGTGAGTCATGCAGTGGGCTTAGTGAAACCATATACTACATAAATACACGGAGAACTCTTCAGTTTTTCATTCTACTTTCCCGTGAGCGAAGAAATGCGTTAGGATGCTAAAGTTTGCAAGAAAACGTTCAAGTTCCACAGACCGGGAGTTGATGAGGAACAGAACCTCTCCTCATCCGTCCCGCCCTCGATCATCCTCCGCTGAAAGATCTTCTGGTTTTGTGACTACCTTGAGAAATGAGTTAGTTGAGTCCCCAGTTCAGGTGACAAAATCGGAGACAAGAGCAGTGAGTAGTACTGCACCAATACGGAGAATAGACCTATGTGAGAATAGGACTATGAGAAATCAGATCTCAGAAAAACGAAACTCCGTCCTGATGAGTTCAAAAGCAACCTTAGCACCTATGACCAACACATTAAGTCAGTTGGTTTCTCAAGTACAAATAAGTGAGACTGGTGATACATGTAAACCTCCTCCTGTCCTACCCAGGAAACCTAAAGTGGAAAACTTCCTTCAGCATTATACAGGACATTTATGGAAGGTTGAACTCCTGGATACAAGTGGAGAGAGCGGATATGGAACAGACAATAGTGATAACAATTCATTAAGATCTCAGGACTCAGTTGAACCTATCCCTCCTCCTTTACCACGGAGAAAACCCAGAAGAAGGGTTCAGTTTGATTCTTATGTATTGTTAATGCAAGCTTTAAAAGAGCGGGATATTAAAGGCATAATGTCAACAATATTCAATGTTTCCGCCGAGGCACTTTGCACAGAAGATGTTGTTTATTATTTTCACACGGCGATATTGCGCCAGGACTACGAGATGACCGACCTATTGGTGAGGGCTGGTTGTGAGGTCAACACTTTTGACCATCGTGGTTGGTCTGCTCTACACTGTGCTTGTAGTGTAGCAAGGTTGGATATGATCAAGCTGCTTCTACAGAACGGAGCAGCGGTCCTGGCTAGAACACATCACTCCAGTCAGACCGGGAGTCAACTTCTCCCTCAGGACAATCCGGCATTCCCTCAATGCTTGGCATATCTCAGATGCATGGAGGAATGTCTTGGCACTGTAAACTCAAGGATTGCTCTAGCAGCGGCAAACTATAGAGCTTGCAGGGTAGATGAGCTGAGTATAAGCAAGGGGGACCGGTTGACGGTGCTACGCCGAGGGGACGTGAATAACGAGATGTGGTGGTGGATGAAAAATGCAAGAGGAGAGGATGGATATGTTCTCAGGGACCTTTTAGCGCTTAACTCCAGGTTCACTTGATATCTGCCTCCAAGCTTTTTTGCTTGAAACTTGGAAACTTGTTTTTGTTTCTTAATACCTTCATACATATGTTACCAGCCATTCTAAAGTATTACCAGAATCCTTCAAATTCTCCAAAATTCTTAAAATCATTTGAATCCATAAAAAGTTACCAACCCTGTCAAAAGTTACCTGAATGAAAGACTGCCGTGCCATACTATCAACGACTAAAATCTTTTCTGTTGGAACAGAAAGACAGTTTTCAGTCAAAAATTGTTTTAAAATGTTCAAAAATTACTCCTTTTTCGTTCTTTTATAAACATGGAGTAACAGTTCGTCAAAGAAATGTATTCCGTCCCAAGAAATGTATTCCGTCCAAAGAAATGTATTCCGTCCAAGGAAATGTATTCCATAAAGAAATGTATTCCGTCCAAGGAAATGTATTCCATCCAAGTAAATTATTCCGTCCAAGGAAATTTATTCCGATTAAACCAAAATTCCATTTAATGAAATTAATTGCATTCCGATAATTAAGGCTCGGGGCCTGTTGTGTTCTATCCACAGCGTTTATATAAATTTTGTATTTCTGTTAAGTCTGTGATCCAAAAGATATTTTTATATTCAAGTATTGATATTGTAATCTTATACACATGAAGAAATATACATCCTAGATGGTTAAATCCTCGTTATTTGTTATTGTAGATTAAGAGTGATATTATGATCTCTAATGTGCTACACTAGATGGAGATGAAAGATGATAAAATACCATTAAATAAATGGTAAAAACAGAAGTATTAAATAAACTTGAGTCAGAAAATTGATCTAGAGATTAAAATATTATTTTCCTTGATACATGGGATCGCCCACTAAGGATGAGACTTCAGAGACGACTGTACGGAATTTGTACATTCTGTTTCCTTGTATTTATAATTTCTAACTGTAAACTTGTTACTTGCTTTGACAAATAAAATCATAAAAAGACTTTAGTTCAGTCAGAAGACTCAATTTAACCTTAAGATCGTCATATTTTTAGATTTTCAGGTCATCTTTGCAATCTCATCCTTTGTGGATAACCCTGTATGTAAAATATATTGAGTTTATGTAAACTTTTTGCTTGACTGCCTAGTTTATTGTTAGTATTGAAGGAAAAATCATGTTTAAATACTATTGTGTAGAAAATTTAGGTTATGAACATTGAACATATGATAATTTACATATGATCTGGGACGCTCTGTCCCATATGATGTATTGGAATATATTTTTGAAGCTTTGCCCCAAACTACGCTTTATACATTTGGTTATATTAGTATTAATTGATTAATCTTTTTAAGATTACGAACGATGTAATTTGGGACAACCTGGACATAACATAGGTTATGTTAAAAGTCTATTTGTCCCTAAGATTAGTAACCATAATGGAACTGAAGACTTGTCACAATATCGAATTTTCTCAACCTCTTGCAGCCAGATAAAAACCTTTGATATTTTGAATTCTGTTCGACCAGAAGTCAAAGTTTGAAATATTAAATCCATCAGGTTGCAACGTTATAATTCATTTTCGATCCTCTCAGATATATTTCTGAAAACTGAGAAAACAACGGTATTAAAAATTAGAATATGTGGCGAGTGCTCACTGCGAAGTTACTTTAGAATAACTAATTTTTATTATTACATACTTTTAATAGTTTGTGTTTTTATTAAAGTTTGAGAAGACAAATTTTAAGAAATATGGGAAAATACCGAAATCCCTGCAAGATCATCTCAGATAAGACGACATTTAAATATATCTTAAAATTTTGAAATTGTTGAAAATATTGTCCGCGCAAATTTATTCTTTTTTCATATTACTCATTAATCAGTACTCTGAAAAGTGGGAGCTGGGTGGGATAACTACAGGGTGTCACAAAAACATGGGAATTCAGTGACGAATTCGATATCGTCTTTGTTATGATTTAGCATTGTAATACCTAATTTCAAAAGCCATAATATTATTATGTCTGCTAGAGTTTATTTTATGAAAATGGTAAAAGACTGTAAAGATATGTCTATATAACGTCTCTGCAAGATGAACAGTGAAGACGGACAAGTTTACTCTGTTTGTATACTGCAATTTTCTTGTTTTACTAAGTACAACCATATGCAGTCAAAACATAAACAAACAAAATGTAAACATAGCAGACGAAACTCTTACAGATTACAGCTTTCTCAGTAGGTATCACTATACTAAATCAAAGAATTATTTGAAAAGACGATATTGAATTTGTCACTGAATTCCCATGTTTATTTTGGGACACCCTGTAGCTTATAGTACATTAAGTATAAAACCAATTATTATCCCAATTTGAGCAATCCTTGAGTTATTTGGAAGAAAAATATTCAGCCATATTTTGTGACTAGATATTGTAAATTTTTTTCATAGCAATTCCGAATTTTGTGGGAAATAAATCTTTTCACACCTTTTTCTTTACCTTTATCCAGCGAGGGGAGGGGGGTGAAGAGCCACCATGAGCCGCGCGAATTGGCCTCCTGATTAGCAGAATGACCTCCAAGTCAATCAAAACCATCTGCATGCCTCTCGGTACGTACCAGCCTCTGCAATTCTGCTCCGTCCAGCATGAAAAAATATTTGGCTTTTTTATCCACCAACAGCCTTTTTTTTAAAAGAAAAATGATAAAAAAGTTTACTTTAATTGATATTTTTTTTGTTCTTACAAATATAACGAATCCCTAAACTTGTGAAGATCGTGCAGAACTATTGCAGCTTAGCTTTGTATAAAGATTTTATACCATTTTACATGTGTATCATGAACGATTCTGACTATATGATATTTTACATGTGTATCATGAACGATTCTTACTATATGAGAAAAAATTCACAAACACTTTTTATGAAATACTCAAAGGAATTGAAATTTTGCCACAACCGTCAATTTTATATCTTTGCAACCTGATGGTGTAAACTTTTGATATTTCAAATTTACACTATTTACAAACAAACAAGACTTATAGTTTCAAATATCAAAGGTCTTATACAACGGGTGGCAATCATAGCGAATAGAAGATCAGAGTTAGCGGCAAAGACTAAAGTCCTTTGTGCTTTATTGTTTTATTTTATTGTCTTATTGAGCATTTTAACAAAATGCTCTTTCAAACTGTTCACTGTGACAAATATAAAACAAGTTTGTAACGTGATAACTAAGTTAAGTTCTGATTATTTTTTGGTAGATTGTTACTGAAAACGTTTCTCCGAGGGGTTTCTCCAAAAATTCGTAAAATGATAATTTGTTTACGTTCATACCCCATGATATTTGTCAGAAAAAATCTACAAATGTATATATTAACTTGACATGTCATGATCTTTCTGTTCACTGTTCAGCCGTTTTGACGTTTATCAGCTGAAAACAGACCACATACGAGCCAAATATATATTTATAGATGTTTTATTTCTACAGGTTCTCCTACTAAGCATGACAGTGGAGTTTTAAAGAATGTCTTAATCTAATTGACATAATAATGCCAATAGTTTTAGAGGTAAAAACTCAAGAATTTTAATTACAAAATTTGGTTGTCAAATAATTGCCGCAAATGATTTCAAAGATCAAAGACGTCACTGAACTGTCATGTTTGGTGGGGCACCCTGTAGTCTAAAGATGAGTCGATAGAGAGAGATATATATTGTTCTAGAAAAAGATCAGTTTGTCCTCCTCTTAATCTGCTCTGAGTCTCAGTTTCATTATAAAATGCCTGCAGTGGGAGTATCCAGTGTATAGTATGCCAAGTATTCGATGTAAACTGTATCAACAGATAATTAAATAAATTAGATGATGCCGAATAAACATTGTAACTTACATACTGCTCATTGAAGCCCCGACTTAAACTTCACACCCTCAACTAGCATTCAGTGTGAGCTGCAGTGCACTGACCGAAGATTATAGTAGTGGTTATAGTGGAGAGTTTAGTTCCTAGGCTTACATTTTTCAAGAGTTGACAGTTGGACAAAATATTTTAAGTTTAACAATAAAAATTTTTTGTTCGGATGAAAGTGAACTGAACGTGGCTCGGATGCAGAAATGTTGGAGCGGGCATTTCTCCCATTCTCCACAAAATAATTCTGCACTCTGCAGTCTGTAAAAGCATTTAATACATTTACATCTGTAGTCCTGCATTATTTAATATATTAACATCTGTAGTCCTGCATTATTTAATATATTTACATCTGTGTCCTGCATTATTTAATATATTTACATCTGTAGTCCTGCATTATTTAATATATTTACATCTTTAGTTCTGCATTATTTTAGATCTTCAAAAAGTGCCAAATAAGTCCTATAGAGACTACAATATTATTACTCAATGTAGTTTTTTATAATTCTGCTTGCATTTTTTTTCTGGCACAATTTCGTTGTAGTCCTTTGCTAATATACAGTGGTAGGCGATTCTATTAATACAATATTAGACGACTTTTTTTATTAAGTTTTGATTGTTAACAAGCTTTTTTCGAATTATAAGTTTACAAGTAATCAAAGAGAATCTTTTTAAATTGACCACTTCTCTTGACTTCTATGTTTAGTTTATGCGTACCATGCTTTTTAAAAGCTTGATATAAATCAAAAGTCGTCTTCATTGTATTGATAAAATCGCCTACCCCTGTAGTTGTTTTTCACTGTTGTTTGTAAGCTTGCTTGTGTATTCATATTGTTTTTACAATCGTAAAACATTTGGAACAAATGGCTCCATCCTTCCCCCCCCCCCCCGTTATTCATATATTATACTGCTACAATATACAACTTCAAACTTTATACAAATATACAGATGTATACAGTGAAACCCATAATAACGAATACATCGAAAGAATTCATCAAATGTCGTATTCTTCACTTTCTGATAATGGAATGTTGCAAATATTTAGTTTTTTAATTAAATGATTATATGGAGCTCTTTAAAACTGTTCCCGCATATTCATGGTTATTTATTTATTTTCGCAAATACTGAAATTTACGTAATAAAGTATAAAACTCATT